ACTGGTCCTAACAGCTTCCTTTGTCGGGAGATACATGAGTATCTGAGATATCAAAGCGTCGGGTAATTTGCTTATCATATCTCCTCCTGCAGGGCGTATTCCTTTCGCTTTCCTTTCCTCCATGAAATAAGAGAGCCACGAAACCTGAGTATGAGGAAGATTTCAGAAACGGATCATCGGAATCTCGATCTAGCAGCGGCACTCGATAATAATCTAACACTATAAATTTTTAAAAAGTGTTTACGAATCAGAAAGGAGCGAAGAAGTTGAAATCACCTGATGGGTTTATGGTTTTGCGGGTGTTGGAAGATCCGACGGCCAGAGATGGAGACGAGGTCGTGTGCCAATTTATCAATTGCAGTGAGAAGAGTGTTATGCCTTTTGGAACACTCGATCATAAAATTTGAAACTTCAGACTAGTTACTATCGAAAGATTGTCACTTCAGAGCGGCAATTGGTTCATCTCTCTCCTCAAGCCCCACGATTCTCGGTCTCAGGTACTCACTCACACTCTAGTCTCCGAAGGGAGAAGAATTGTGTTACTCATTGTTTAAATATTTGGGCCAAAAGGCCCATTAACTTTTCTGTCTCGATTCTTTTTATGAAAAAATAACTAAAACACAAACAAAACATTTTAGTTCAGTTTAATTATTAAACTCTGTTGTGTTAGAATTTTCATTATCAAGCTTCTAGTTTAAACTTTAAACTTTATATTTTTTGTCAATATAAAAAACTACAATCGTTATGAAATGTTATATTTTTATCAAAAACTAAAACAAAATGTTTTTTTTTTTTTTTTTTTTTTTTTTTTTTTTTTTTTTTTTTTTTTTTTGAGAAAGGCTTTCATATTTAAATGCAGAAATAAAAAAAGATTACGAACCAGAAGGCTATAGTTTGTAAAAGGAGCAGCCCAGCCCAGTTAAATTACATAGTTATAAAGATTCTAAATGAACCAGCCCAAAGCCCACTAGTGAAAAAACCGTTGAGATTCGTCATCGACATCTATCCTCCGATCACGCCGAGACATGCACTGAGGAAGGATCAGTTGAGAGCCAATGTTGCAACAGTTTCGATGCCAGATGTGTGTTGTTTTCTCGATAGCTTGCAATCCGATTTCGAACCTGTCTGTCTATGGATCGAGTGATGGAGTCCTCTGAATTGAAAATTCCACGGTGAAGCCTTCCATTCCTTTCTGACCAGATCCAATAGAGTGTAGCCTGCCAAGTGATTAGTGATAGCCGCTTCCACAGTTTTCCGTTCGTGAGCGATTGCATTTGCCCCAACGAGTCATTCCAGGACCGAGCCGGCTGGAGATTGCATCTTGTAGCCATTGAGCTCCAGATTTGCCAAGTTACCGGACAGTCGAAGAAGAGATGGTCTCTGCTTTCCAAACTTGTGTTACAAAGTAGACAGTTTGCCGGAGTGTGTAATCCCCATCCCAGGATTCTATCTCGGGTGGGGCAACGATTGAGAATGAGGAGCCATGCCAGGAAATTGTGCTTGGGGATCCCTCCGACACACCATGCCACCTTAGCCCAAGGTACTAATCCCAAGTCTCGTCTCAGTTGCTTGTACACTATGCCTGTTCCATATTTCTTAGAAACCAGGCCCTCTATCTCCCACTCATAGTGATCCTCTTGATCCGTCAGTGAAACAATGGTTAGATAGGCGTGTAAACTAACCAGATTGTCTGATCGTGCAGGTGGTAATCTCCAGCGGTTTCTCCTGTTTAAGCTTTCCAGTGTCGCCGTCCAAGGGATACCAAGTCTTGAAGATTCGTTTCCTTGGAGGAAGTTTTGAATGTTGCCGAAAGGCGACCAATTGTCTGTCCAGAATCGAGAGCTCCTTCCATTGCCAACTCTGAGTTTGATCCAAGGGTATATCTCGGCCCTATTCTTTATTAGCTTGTTTACTAACCAAGAATTCCTCCTATGTGTCTTGATTGTCCAAAAGTTGCTTAGGTTGCCTTCTAGTATCTCCGCTTTGAACCAAGCAACCCATACTGAACCCGATTGAAAGAATAGCAACCAAATCAGTTTTAGGCAGCATGCCTTGTTCCAGGTTTCCAGGTCTCTTATTCCCAAACCTCCTGTTTCTTTGGTTTGTGTTACTGTTTTCCACGAAACTCTTGCAGTGTTATGTGCTTCCACATTTCCTTGCCATAGGTACGTACTGCAGAGTGAGTTGATCCTCGTGATGCAAGCTTTGGGCAAGATGAATGACGAGCACCAGAAGGTTGAGATACCAGCTATTACCGTTTTGATAAGAACCAGTCGGCCGGCAAACGATAGCGACTTTGAACTCCACGAGGTAAGTCGTGTCTTGACTTGTTGGATAAGCACTTCGCAGTTTGTGATACTTAGTTTCTTGCTACTGAGTGGGACACCTAGGTACTTGACAGGCAAGGAACCTTGAGGCATTCCTGTAGAGAACTTTATCAAGTCGCAGTCTTCTTGGGGTACACCAGACGCAAAGAAGCTCGACTTCTGGATACTAACCGCCAGGCCGGATCTCTGTTGGAACTCATGGAGAATTTGCAGTACGTTCTGAACCGAGTCCAGTGTTCCCTCCGTGAAGATAAGAAGGTCGTCAGCAAAGCATAGATGGGTTAACTTGGACTCCGAGCATCCCTGATGATAGGAAAACTTTCCTTCCTCTGCCGCTTTGTTTAACATTAGGGATAGACTATTCATTGCTATTACGAATAGGTAGGGTGAGAGAGGGTCACCTTGCCTTAGCCCTCTTTTGCCTTTGAAGTACCCCTGAACCATTCCATTGTACCCAACTGTGAAGTTCATAGTGCATATGCAAGCTTTAAGCCACCCTCTATACTTCTCAGGTAGCTCCAGACCCTCTAGGCAGTTAAATAGGAACTCCCAAGACACACTATCAAAAGCTTTAGCTATATCAACCTTTATAGTGATTCTCCGAGTTCCATTTGCCTTATGAAAGCCATTAACCAGTTCTCCAGCAAGCACCGTATTCTCCACTAACAATCGATCTTTTACAAACGCAGTTTGATTTGGCAAGATAAGGTCTGGCAGGATTGGTTTTAGACGCCTCACCAGAAGCCGAGAGACCACTTTGTAGAGAGTGTTGAGGCAAGAAATGGGTCTGAAGTCTGTGATCAAAGAAGCGCCTGGGAACTTTGGGATGAGTGTGAGAATTGTGGAGTTTGTAGAAGCTGGCATGAACGAGCTATCGAAGAAGTAGTCTGCTATGGCTGTGGTGACCTCAGGGCCTACGATGTCCCAAGATGCTTTGTAGAATCCTGAAGTTAGTCCATCTGGTCCTGATGACTTATTTGGGTTCAGTCTGAACATAACTTTCCTGATTTCCTCCAGTGCAGGGACTTTAATAATTTCTTGTTGCTGTTCAGGGGAACACCGGAATAGAGAGAGGGACTGGATCCAAGTAGGCGGCGATTGGACTTTGTTTGGTGACAAGATTGAGGGGCCAAGTATGGATTTGAAGTGGTTAATGGCATGGTGACTCATCTCAATCAGATCTTCCAAGATGCCTCCTTCTGGAAGACGGAAGGATCGGATGGAATTATAACTCGTTCTGGTTTGAGCTATTCGTTGAAAGTAAGTGGTATTTTGATCGCCTTCCTTTAACCAGTTAATTCTCGATTTCTGCTTGAAGTAGCTCTCCTCTATATCTCTTAGGTGGGACCATTTTTCATGCAGGACTTTCTCTTGACTGAAAAGTTGCTGGTTTGGCGTCTGTAGAGCTTGTACCTGCACAACTTGTAACAAACGGTAAGCCTCACTAACTTTCTTTTGAATGTGAGAAAAATTTTCTCTGTTTAACTCTCTCAGAGGGTTCTTGATAGTCTTTTGTTTCCAACACAGGTTAGTGAGTGTGGAGGCAAAGCTTCCAGCCTGAATCCAAGTCTCTAGGACCACTTTGTGAAAGTCGGGGTGCTTAGTCAGGTAATTGAAAAATTTGAAGGGTCTAGTTCCGGCTTTGGGGAGACGGTGGGCTAGGTCTATTAGGCAAGGGCTATGGTCAGAGGTTAAGGGTGGAAGGAAGGAGGCTAAACCATTTGGGAAAGAAGCTATAAGATGGCAGTTGACAAGCGCTCGATCAAGCTTTTTGGCAATAGGGGAATCTAGCTGGCCATTCTTCCAAGTGAAAGGGGGGCCATGGAACTTGAGGTCGAACATCCCCATTTGAGTGAGACAATCTTTGAACTCCAACATTCTCGGGTCCATTGTGTTGATGTCCGGATTTGAGTGTTCCGAGGGGTGGACAATCTGGTTGAAGTCGCCTCCAATCATCCACGGAGTCGTGTGAAGAGAGAAAGCTTGTTGAATGTTCAGGAGTTCGATCCAAAGGTCAGTTCTCTCACTGCTTATATTAGAGGCGTAGACAGCAGTGTAGATCAATAATGGGGCACTTGGCAATTTGACTTGACAGGTGATTGTTTGACGTGACTGGTGGAGGATTTGTACTGACGCAGGGTGGCGCCAAATTAGTATTATCCGACCATCATCATCAGAGGCATGATTCGAGGTAAAACTCCATCCTTGGCAGAGCTTAGTCATTAGTTGGTTCAGGTTAGAATCTTTAATATGAGACTCTAATATAGATCCAAAAAGGGGCTGATGGATCGAGAGCCAATCACAAAAGGGCTTATGCTTGTCCGAATCATTTATACCTCGGACATTCCAAAAAAATAGTTTTGAATTCATCAAGAAGGGGGGGCAAGGTCTCCTGGGGTAGGAGAGCCTTCAAAAAGTGGCACTGAAGGTGAGAGCGAGTCTAAAGTGTTCTTAAGGGGGATAAAAACTGGGGTAGCAATTGGCGGTTTCGGGTTTGGGATTGTAGATGGTAAACCAAAGGGTGGGATAGTGCTTAACGAGGGGTGGGAACGAGATCTTTTTAAGGTAGTTTTTTGAGGTAGGTCTGGTGGGCTGTAGGGATAAGGGTCGCCGGATGGAGTAATGGAGGCTGGAAGGCCTATTATAACAAGGTGGTTCTTTATGGGGGTTAAGTTAAAGGGATTGAGGGGGGCTAAAGGTGGTTTTTGAAGAAAGTTTAGGGTCTGTTTTTGGGGTAGCAGAAGGGTTTTGAGGATGGATGATTTCAGTGGGATGGTTTACCAAAGGTGGACGTAAGGTAACAGGGATTTGGATCTTTGGAGTTTCAGGGGGAGAGGTTGGCTTCGACTTTGGGTGTGAGGAAATCGGGTCCTTTTCTTTGGAGGTTGATTCCTTTTTCTTATAAATCTTCTCCTGTTTCCCTTTTTCAGGAGCCGGAGGAACCTCTTTAGTCGGTATTGGCAGGAGCAGGCAATTCTTTGCAATGTGACCTAGTTCTTGACAGTGAGAGCACTTGGGAGGTAGCCATGGGTAGTCGACGAATACCTCAACCACTTCACCACTTTCCCTTTCAAACTCAACTACATCGGGAAGGTCTTTTGTCAGTCGCACTTCTACCTTGACATGTGCAATGGTAAGACTTACTAGGTTTTTAGTGAAATCATCTGTTTCCTTTGGTTCGCCAATCAAGCCTGCAATTAAACTAAGGCCGTTTTGATGCCTTAGGTCTAAAGGTACTTCAGTAAGATGGGCCCAGAGCTGCATCGTGACCGCTTGGCAATCCTCCGGTGAGTGACCTGCAGTCCATTTTGCTGTATGGAACATTGAATCGCCGACATACCAGGCTCCTTTCTCTAGAATTTTGGATCGCATGTACTCGTTTGGAATCCGCACTATCAATGATCGAGTGAGAGGATTATTATGGATCTCAAGTTTCTTTCCTTTTCCCCACATGTGGTTTAGTACACTCTGGATTTGGCTATAAGGTGGAGCTCTTCCATTGAAGTAGAAGACGATGAAGTCCTTATGCAATTATGCTCCTTCTTGGAATACCTCATATGGGATTAGTACTTTCGGTGTACCCTTTTCTGAGTAAGCTACCGGGGTTAATCTTGTCAGAGACTTTTCGGCGAAGTGCCTTAACTTTTCAGCAAGGGTAGGAGTAGCTTTTTCTGCTTGGGCTCCAGTCTGTTTGTTTGAAGGTTGGGGTTCGGGTTTCTGTGAACTGGAAATGGTAGAACGCGTTTCAGTGGGAGTAGGGATAGAGTTTGAAGTGGCTTTGTTAGTTTGAATCGGGGATGGTTTTTTGGGAGGTAGGGTAATTAGGTTTTCATGACTAGTTAGGGTTTTGGGAACAGTAACTGAGGGATTAGGATGGTTTTCACCTTCTACCTGAGGCATCGGGACATCAGTTGTGACATTCTCATCCACTGGACTACTCATCTTCTTGTTGGCGACAGTGTGAATAGTAGCTGTGAAGTTTTGAACAGTGTTTTCAGATCTAGGAATTTCTGGACCAGTTTTCGCTCCAGCTGGAGCAGCTTGGTTTGACTGAGTCTTTACAACATCAGTAGTTGGAGTAGAAGCATTGGATCTCTTGACTACAGGCGCCTTTGGAGGCACAGTTCGTAGAGTAGATCCTTTTGCTTGGGTAACTGGTGGGGTGAGGGGAGGGAATTGAGCAATGGAGAGAGAGGCAGATGGGTCAGGGGGGTCGGGAGGGACTAGGGGAGGGGGTGGGAGACCTTCACCAGCGGTGAGAAACGGAAGATTCCGGGCGGAAGCACGACTACCGGAGAACCAGCGGTTCTGCATCGATAACCGGGTCTGAGAGAGTTGGAATTTGTCTGTCTAAGTAAAGATTTCAAGCTCTCTTATTTTCAGATTTTACTAAAACAAAATGTTACTTACTCTAATGGGTGTGATCTAAGAAAATGGTCCGTCCCAATCACAAGTGTGAAGAGTTTTGAAACAAAAGCACTCGAGTCGAGCGCATAATTCACATACTAGCTTCTAGTTTAGAACGTTCCCAACTCGGCAACTCATAACAAGTTTCTTGAGGATTACAGAGTTTTCTGCAATGTACCTTGCTAGTTTCATTAAAACAAACTCTTCCTCTTCTTAAATCCATGATTCAAAAGCCATGGCCCGTTGAAGCCCAAACAAGAATTGAAATAAAAGGTTACAAATAAAGTAGTCTAGGGTTTTTGTAAAAACAAGTTCTCTCGAAAATCTAACGTCAATGGGCGAGAAGCGCAAGAAAACCTCCACTGCCACTGATGTAATCTACTTCTTCTTATGATTTTCTTTATTGTGATTGCTCTTATCAGTTTTGAGCCATCTCTTCTTTGTTATTTCTGAATTCGGGATGATGCCATAACCAAGAAGCACAAGAAACCTTCCACTTCCACCAATGTATTAATTATGGTCTTCTGTGGAGAGTCTTGTTCTTGCATGCATGGTGTATTCTCTCTAATTAATTTTTTATTAAAATGAAAACTGCAAGCAGTTCAGATTCGCTTTATGAGGTTTATGCAGGTTTAATTAGCTGAACCCTTTTTTTTTTTTTACTTTTGCCTTGAATACTTATCCGCATCGACTCTATTTGTTGCCATGTTTCGTTTTTTATTTTATAATGAAGATGTTTCTTGGTTGATTACTTGCAGTTTAGTGATGAAGATCAAAATAATTGTCTCGAAAAATGAAATAACTTTCTTTAAAGATGTAAGTTTCTACCAGTTTTTGTTTGTTGTTCTTGACATTGGTGCTATTTAAGTTGGCTCTCTCTCGCCCAATTAATTAGTTTGATTTGTGTTTTTACCAGTTTTATTATTCATTAAAAAATTTATCCAATGGCAGGAAATCAACGAAATCAAGAATTCTATCAAAGAGCTGTCTGAAGCTATAAAAAAAAATCAAGAGATTCTAGTGACAAAAGTCGATCAACTAGGGGTGTCATTGAAGGTACATTGTATGCTATTTGTTTTGTATTTTTGACAACTGATTAAATTTTAACACTTTATATATCTCATGTAATATATATTTAGTCTCTAGAGATCTCCTTTTGTGTATAGGATGAAGCGAGGGAGGCTTGCTCTATCCTATGTAAAGATGCAAAGGGTAAAAACGGAGCGACCGTTTTTGTTAAGGGATTTGACCATTTGCAACCTAGGAATGAAGTCAAGAAAGCATTGTTGGAGTACTTCTCTGATTTTGGAGTCAAAAGGGTTTATGTTCCCTTTGAGTGTGAAACTGGTGTTCCCTTGGGGTTTGTGACTTCTTCCTTCAAATTTATAACATGTCTATCATTTAAAACTGCAAAGCTAAAGATTGACTTTATCCTTTTACAGATATGCTTTCATTGATTTGAATAATTATGAAGATGTATCCGAGATGTTACAAATAAATGGATCACGAATGAAAGGAAGGGTGCTTGAGGTGAAGATGGCTAAAAATAGTCCCGAATTCTATGGCTATACTAACTTTCGTGGCTGTATTCTATGTCAAAAGATTCGGAAGGAATACAAATGTGGATGTTGCGATGACCAATTTTATGGTAGGGAAAAGAATATACATGTGTATTAATTATTTATATATAAGATTTTGAATTATTTTTTTTAGATATGAAACTAATATTGGTTTTGTGTTCTCTAGGTTAAAAAAATGATGACTGCCGCAGGTAGTTCCTTGAGTTTGCTCTTGTTTTAAGTGTTTATTGTACATAACCAAGTATCTTTGTCATTGATGCTAATACTGGTCGTTTTTTGTTTTTGTAATAATAATCATTGCTACTATCAAATTGTGTGGTTTTGTGACATGTTACCCCGTGAGCATAAAAAACAAAAACAAGTAAACAACTGATGTTTGTTTAACGAGTTTCATTTTCTTCTACATCCGAATGTCAGAAATCAAACCTAACCGAATCACATTCTTTGAAAATCTTCCAAATCTGTTAGACTTGTTAAACACACTGCATGGGGCTCAAAGGTCACAACGACATCCTAAAAACAGTTTGAACAGAATCAAGATCAAGATCCAAGTCCGAATCTCCACTTTTTGGCGGTCCAAAAGCTTCCACTTCACACGTTCTAGCTCGCCACGACAATGCATGGAGATCCCTTAAGACGGAATCTTCTTCAAGCACATGATCAGTCCAACGCAGCACAAACTTCTTGAGAGCTACCGAGTTTTCTGCAAAGTAGCTTGCTAGTCTCATTGCAACACGCTCTCCATTGTAACAGCATTTTATCTCCACAAACTCCAGCGATGAAAAAAAACACTGAGGCACGAACCAGAACGATGTTGGATCCGAATCAACAACCGTAGGATGAGTAAGATTCTACAAAAAACACACAAAGATGAATGAGAGAATACACTTAGAAAACAACACATTTCTTCAAATGCATAATCAAGTTAAATAATAATAAAAAAACTCTATCATCGGTCCAAGTCATCACCAAGACGAAAGATTTTAGCCTCGGGGAGCTGTCGAAAAGCCTTGACAGGATCTCCACGTCTATTAAACAAACGTTTGCTTCCAAACAAGACAGGTTGCAAAGCTGAGGCAATGCTTCTCCTTTGAAGCAAGAAGAGATTAGCTGCTTACATGAAAAAGAAAACAAGAACAAGACTATGAGTGATCAGAAAGACAAGACTATGTATGAAGACAAAGACTCGGTAGAAACATGCATGCGTACCCTCATAGTATTCTCAGAGATGATCAGATCCGTAACTCTCGAGATAGCGTAGAAAAAACTGCTGACCAATAGCTTCTTGGATAAGTCATTCCCATCAGTAAAATATGGAATGTAACCGCCACCGAGGTTAACCCTAACCGAGGGACTAAAATTGCTTAGAATCTGAGACCTAGATACATCATCATTGAAATTCAAATACTTGAGTCTTGGGGCATCAACGGAAAGCCCCAAGATCTCTCTATTATAACGATAAAACCACATACGACTCTGACCAAGCTCAAACCCTATAGTAACACTGGTTAAACTCTGAGAGTGCACTCGTAAAACCTTGACGTTATCCCCAAGCATTCTAACAATGATCAGATCTTTAAGAACAGGGCAAGACGAGATAAGCGACTCTAGACTCTTCTCATTGGCATACACATTTTGTTCTAAATACATAGTCTTGACACAAGGTAAAGAGACAGACTCGAAACTACCCAATACTACCCGATGGAGTCTTAAGTGAAGAAGCGTCTCGCAAACATAAAGGCTTAAGGGCATCACTTCCATAAGCTCACGCCTCACAAGAAAACAATCGACATCGATATGCTTAACTTTACGCTTAGCCACAAAATCTATCCAACGCGTGAGACAATGCGGATCGTTCTCATCTTTCTGAATGATAAGTAGCTTGAGCTTGTGCAAGCATGACTTCTCTTCCCTACAGAAACCTAGGGACTTGTCCACAATACTTACAAAGGCATTGTAATCCTGAACCTCGTTCGAGGCTAACTCCAACGTAGGAGTCAGTAGCCAGAGACTTTTCCATCTATCGGACAGAACACTTGTCCTAACAGCTTCCTTTGTCGGAAGATACGAGAGTATCTGAGATATTAAAGCGTCGGGTAATTTGCTTATCACATCTGGAGGATGGTTGCATATTTCTTTCTCTTCCTTTGCCTCCATGAGAAATCCGGTCGCAACCTCGGAACCTAAGTGATGGTTTCAGAAACAAAACATCATAATCGCGATCTTAGCGGCAATTCAATAATCAACACTATAAACTCCAAAAAAAACACGTTTTGTAAATCAGCAAAGAGCTACGAAGGTAAAATCACCTGATGGTTTTAGGGTTCTGTGTGTAGGAAGATCCGGTGGCGTGAGAGCTTCTCAAATGAAAATGAGAGGGCGCTATTGCCTATTGGTGTGTTTATCTCATTTGGAACTCTCGTTAAACACGATGACCACCACCATATCATTAAAGTTTTAAAACCTTCAATTATTTGGGCCAAAAGGCCCATAGCATTTTTGTTTGCTTGGCCCATTAACTTTTCTGTCTGAATTTTATTTTTAAAAGAATTTTGTCAAACAATTTGTTTAGTTAACAAAATTATTAATATCCATAGCCATTTATTATTTTCATTTTGTTCTGTTGGATCTTTTCAGTTAGGAAACCAGAAATAAATTAAAGTCTATGCTTTGATAAAATTCCATATAAACATTACGCCACTTAAGTACTTAACACTAGATTTTAATTCATTTAAAAAATATGCACTTCTGCAAAATCACAAACTTCCAAACCAGCTTCTTATTAGCGGATACCGGAGATAATCGAATCAAACCAAAACACACTTAACCAACCGAGTTACATTACCGAAAACATGACTTAAACCTCGATTATAGAAAGAGATTAATCAAGAAACAAGTTTGATATATAATCATAAGATTCATGTTGCTGCTTCAACGGGAGATTTGACGGCGGCGACGGTGAAATCCAGGAGCACGATCTTGTCGATAGCGGCGGTGAAAGCGGCTGAGAACTCAACGTGAAGAGGATGGCTTGTGAAAGAAACGTAAGCATCTTTGTTCTCAAAGTTCATCGAGAATGCATGAGTGAATCCTTGTCTTAGCATGTCGTGACTCTCTTTATCTTCTCCCCTAATATCATCAAAATCATAAAGTCATTAATTAGTTATAGATCCAAAATTGAAGGTATTTATATTACTTGAAAAATAATAAAATACTAATGACAAACCATTCAAAGGATTTGACAGTATCAATTTGAGCAACAAGATTTTCCAAGCCCTTCAAGATCTCATCAACCTTTGCATCTTCCTTAAACTTCACAACCACCAAATGCTTGAACCCTGAAGTCGCCATTAATATTTTATTACTCTTTAGCTTCACACCCTTGCATACACTTATGTTGAAGCAATCTTATATAGAGGTGGAGAATTATGTGCACATGTGAACGCGTACGTGTGAATGTACACGTGTGTGTGTGTTTCTGTGTGCATGTGTGTGAACAATAATGCTTATTGCTGTGCTAGATTTCAATGTACAATCTTCTGACATTACCTATATGACTATTTGTCTCTGACATAAAACATTTTACTTTGTTTAATTTTTTCATTTGTTTGTTTTTGATTTGTTCAAAATTGTCTTCGACAACTTTGCATGTTTTGTCAGGTTATAATTTGTATTTCAAACATCTAGTACGAATTTTTAGGGTCTGAATAGTTTTTGACGTTAAGTGTGCGTTTGGTCCAATGTTTGTGTTCTCATTCACTTAAAAAAGATAACTTGTTTAGCTGTGATGTACAGCAGCACTAGCTAGCTAGGGCGTACCACACTGAATATATTACGTTTTTTTGGGAACCTTTTTTTCTTGAAAATGTAAATGTGTTACCATTGACTAAAAGTTTCGTGTTGAATGCTATACCATTTGAATGCTATATTTTTTTATTGTTCAGAACATTGATCAAATAATCACACTTTCAAAACGTGATTCTACTATCTATTTTGTATATGTTACAAGAAATGAAAATGTCTATTTCAAAACTTCATTAATCGATTAAAATTATGTTTTTGTTAGCATTTCGTGATTGTTCTGCGAAAATGCTAATTTCTAGTCACCTCGAAAACATGATTTAGTTTTGCGTTTAACTTTACTTACAAAAAAAAAATAATAATAATAAAAAAAAATAATCGAGTTTTCCTTGATATTCAGATGCTTTGGATATTTTCCCTTCCCAATAATCTCACCATAATCTTTATATTATTAATTGAGAAGTACATTCTAATGTTTGGATACAAGAATTAGAGAAACATCTATTTGGATAGAAGAATAAATGGAAACAAAAGTTGTTTGGATATAAGAATAAGAGAAAAATCTATTTGGATAGAAGAATAAATGGAAAAAATTGTTTGGATACAAGAATAATAACTTAAAATAAACCGATGGTTTAGAAAACTTCCGTTTTCCATCTCTTAAAAATCTGCAAAAAAGAAAACTTAACATAATCTAACGATAATTCCAAATCAATAGAATATGCTTTTTGGATTTTCGGGTTTTTATAGACAAGTTCGGGTTTGGGTGAAAATCTGAGACATAATTTTATAGAGATATAGAAATTGTTCGGGTTTCTTTGAAAATTTCTGTTCGGGTTAGGTTCAATTTTTTTTTTCAGTTTAGGGTTTTCCGGATTTTTTAGATTTCTGGTTTTCGGGTTTAGATATATTAAAAAAATTGAGTATTTTAAAATTTTGATTAGGTATTGGGGTCGGGTTCCGGGTGAAAAAGTTTCCAGATTTTTTTTGTTCAGTCAGGGTTTTCGGGATTTTTTTGATTTCGGATTTTCATGTTTAGACCTATTAAAAAAGTTTGGGTTTTTAAATTTTTTGATTAGGGTTTTTTGTCGGGTTCGGATTTAGGGTTTAAATTTTCTACACAAAACAACAACGTCACACCGCACAAACGTGCGGGTACTCTACTAGTATCTTACTATTTGTGAAAACAACATGCAATACTATGCTGCTTTCTCATCGATGGTGACAAAAGAGCGCGTGATCGGTTGGTTGAGGTTCCATCGTTGTCCATAGCCATTTACATTATTGTTATTTTAACATATTAAAGGCATATATTAGCCGCGGTATATGATGTTATCTTCTTGTAGTATGTATCTGATTACGAGAAATGCTTTCTCAAGTCTCATATGAAATGCCCTACCATGCGTACCCGCAAGAATTGAATATAACCACACATTTTTGTTTGTTTGTAACTTTCTCCATAGACATGCATGAATTAGATCAACTCTATGGAAAACCAATAAAAAAAACTAGGATTGGCCATTGAACCGGATAAATTGATCAAAAAGGAATTTGATTTTGTATTTGAAAGATTATTTATTATAGTCTGAAGTAAACAAAACCGAACTGAATGGATATACTGATGCAACCATTATCGTACCAAAACGTATTCGGTTGGCTTGATTGGTAAATGGTAATCTCTCCCATTTCAGCTTGGATTTGTGATACATCATAACCACTCAACCCTAATAAAAGGTAACAAAGTTCCTTTTCTTTATTTGGGAACAAGATCTGAGAGAAATCGAGAATCCAATGGAAAGAGAAACATGGTGCATGGATTTGTGTCAGCTCAATGTCTTTTGTGAACCTCTTTACCAATAAAGTTTGATTCAGCCATACCATTTTGCTATCATCCTTCGTACGCTTTTTTTCTTCTTCTTCTCAAGTCACATGAAACTTGGACCCATCAAATGTATTTTCTTCATTATTTCCTTGATAAAGATATGATTAAAGCAGCATGTGGTCATGCTCTTAAATCAATTCCCACTGAAAATGACATCATATCGACCCCTTGCCTAACATTATTGGTACTGTTTTATTAGAAAATGGAATGTCTAGCTCAAAATCTTATTCTTCTTAGCAAAAGAAAAATTATTCTTCTCGAAAACATTATTTAAATGCTTAACAATATTGGTCACATATTTACCCACTTAGCTTCACTTTTTCACCTTCATACGTGTATGTTACCTCATGACTAGAGCTTAGGTGACCATGTGAAGTTTCTATAGTGAATTTCAGAACGTCTTTTTTAACCCGGCTATATTTGACCATCTAATTCTCTTTGTATTTTCATGATATTTATTTGTTGATGGTTGAAAATAACTTTTTTTTTAATGACTTCGAGTCATGTATATATTTAAAAGAAACTTTGATACTTCTTTGGGTCAACGTAGAAACTTATACATCAAGTAAATGTTGGAGTAGATCTTACAATGTAGAGGATTTGAAAGAAAAAAATTGTTTTGTCAGTGTTTAACAATTCAGTTGTTGTAGAATAAAAGTGATTCGTTCGGTTACTACGACTATCTAACACCGCTTAACTCTTTTTAATAACTTAAAGAGTCCAATAAACGATCGTCTGGACTCTGTTTTCAGAACACTTGGGTCAAAGATATGTATGTGATTTTCCCTTGTACTCAATTTTTTTTCTAATAGACTTTTCTTTGCTTTGGGCTTTTCCTACTTAATTCCATCGTGTAATGTGACACCGATCCTTTCCAGCCCGTTCGTTTTTCTTTTTCTCTCCTTTAGAATATTGTTTTGGCCCTTTGCTTATTGAAATACTAGGCAAGCAGTACGCAATACCCAAATCACATGTTTATTAGTGAGTATTTCTCCAGTGAATAAAGTCAGGCCATGGAGCTTTGGACAATTAGCTGAAGAAGTGGTTAGAAGAAAAAAAAAACTAGAAATCAAGATCTTGGACATGTGATGATTCTTCCATGCATAAGTTGTTTTGTAGTTTAAGAAGGTAACTCGAACATGTGATTATTCTTCCAGAGATAGTTTGCTATTTTAATTCAGAAATCTCAAAATGGGTAAGATACATGCACACGAGATAATACATTTATAACTAATGAAAGGCAATATATTCAAGGAAACGATATATAGTCCATTAAGTTTCTTCAGTGAAAACGAAATGACTACCTCTAACCTCTGCCTAAAAATCTATCTCCGACGATAACGAAAAATCAAGCACATCAAAAAGCCTATATCTAAAATCCTTTAACAAAAAAAAGGGGCATATATTTACTATTATAATAACAAATAGAGTTTATATTGATTGTTTTTTTAATCAAAAGTTTATATTGATTGTTGGTTCCGCCTTTCTGGTCTAGTCAACTCCAAAACGATGTCTCTATATCCCGTCTTAAAGCTATGGCTAATTTTCTCTCTTTTTAAAATATGATTGTATCAGTTGGAACTGGTTATCTATTTGCTACGTATGATTGTATCAGTAGTAGAAGCCGGCCACCTGAAAAATGGATAGATAGGTCTATCATCGATGTAAGATCGCCGGCAAGCATGACCATTAATGTTTTCTTCTTGTTAGGAAAACTTAGCACGTCAGAAGTATTCGTTAGATTTAAGCTGATAGCACGAAGCCAAATTTAAATATCTAAGTTTTAAAAGTCCAAAAGAAGTTTGATTGAAGGATACGTTTTTAGGCTCTTTTGGATTATTAAAATTGGGGAAATGTCGTCGTGAAGAGAAAGAAGACATGGAAGCTACGTTCCAACCACTTGGTTTAATTCAGCTGATAAAGTTTTTCTTTTTCTTTTCTTAAAAATGTTTAGCTCAATAATGGTCATGGAAGTCTCGTTCACATTCACACACGTTGGCAACATAAAATAATACGACTTGACCCATAGCTTTGCTTGACTTGTACATTGGTGACCCCTTTCTCAGTATAGTAAACCACAATATAAATTCAACAAATTTTAGTGAAAAAAGAAGAAGAAGAAGACAATTTTAGATCAAGTAGGCAAAACGCATAAAATACATGTGCGGCAAGTTGCGCAGAACAGATCAAAGTCAGATGCGAAAGTATATAAGTATAATTTATTTATGGATAAATCAATTTAACATTATATATTCTCCCGCGCGCAAGAAGAAGTTAAAATCCTATTTCATGCATAGTTCAAGTTCAAGATGCCTAAACATTCGAAGAGTTTCTGATCGTAATTAAGATATCAGGATTGTCATTACAATTGATAGTACAAACAAAACATATCATTCCTAATAGTTTAGACTAATTGATCATTTTCATGAATTGGTGTTAATCCATGCCCTGTAATTTCCATGGATGAATACAATCTTATAAGGAAAAAACGATGATTGTCCTCCCTTAATTATTAGATAAAAGCATTACTTTACTAATTATCAAACAATACAGACCGAGTAGCCAACGAATGAATGAATTCCACAGCACAGTTGACTAGTTGTTGATGATCCTGACGTCAATTTTGTGATGTCAGCAGCTTCGGTAAAGACTACGTCATGGGTTCCTAATGTCAATGTCCGACGGAATTAACGGCGTTTTCGTTGGTGCATTGGTCGCCACTTGCCAGCTACATCACAATTATTACTCTCTTTTTTTAAGTTATGATTAATGTTTAAAGATTGTCCATGACTCCGTATTGTAGTTTTAAAAATCTAGTAGTAAAATTTTAACTAACAATATCATATCTATTTGTGTGTATTACACTACGTAACCAATGAAATATGACCATCTGCATGTAAATGACACTTGGTGAAATTTGTAAAAATGAACTAAAATATATTTGCATGTTTATGCTCTTTTTTGTTTGTTGGGTGTTATGCATATTTATGTTCTTGTGACTTATGATGTGTAATAAGTAGATTTTTCTACAACAAAATAATTCAATCATATACTTTTTTTTTTACCAAAAGGCTAATTCAATCAAATACTTATTCCGCGCACTGATAATAGTGAAACTGAAACTGATGATATTCTGGCGTTTGAATTTCTTTGATGAAACTACAAAACGGAGTGCGTTTAATAGAGGGTTTAAAAACCACAAACTTCCTGTGTAACCTAACTCTGAAGTTTCACTAACCTATCAGAATTTCTGTGAAAAGTGAAAACACACATTTTCCTGCTAGATTCCTCTTGTCTTTTACACATGGCAAACCATTAAATACAAGTAATAGACTTAGCCAAAAAACTATTTCTGTTATTATCAAGTGAACCGCGTAGATTAGTGTCATCAAAGCTGGGAAAATATATAAAAACAAACTTTGTTTTATATACATGACAGACAGATCATATATAGATTCATAATGGTAAAGTCAACACCTAATTTTTTCTCTTTCTATTTCTCTTTATTTAGCTACTCCCATAGGTGGAACCAAGCACATGTTCTAAATCCTAATTCAGTTTTCTATTTGACAGTTAAATATAGCCTAGTGTATGTAAAAATGAAGAAATATCTTGATTAGGAAACCCGAACTTGGTCTATAACTGGTAAAGTCAAATTGGTTTTTATTGCATACATATGCTTAAACTAATAGCATGTTGTAATTTCCTAACACATTCTTATCTATATCTATCAATATTCCTCCATATAGTAGTTACTTGCCCTATATATGTATCACCTCCCTATCCATTCAAAATTAATAGCATAGATCCTTGAGAGAAAGAACGGCTAAGAAACATACACAAGCACACTCTACTCTATGGAAATGAACTCCCCCCACGAAAAGGCGGTGCAAGCTATCATGTATGGCCATAGATGTGCCTTGCGGTTGAAGGTCCGGCTTGACGATCCAATGGCTGACAATGGATCGGTTTCAACTTATGATCTTGCTAAATCGATCGTCAGTTGTTTCTCCGATGCCATCTCAATCTTATCCGATAAACCAAAATCCGAGGATGATCAATTTTCTGATTTATCTTCAAGGGATTCTTCTCCTCCTCCTACTCCCCAGAGAAACCAATCCAAGAAAAGGTATGGATAATTAAAATTTAGTTCAAAATACTATAATTTTCAATACTTAGTATATATTAATTATAATTATAAACGCAATGACAAGACATGAATGTGAGACTTGCTGAGGAATGGGATATGTGTATGATTAGTATGCTAATATTTTGACACCACCATGTTTGCAGAAAGATTAATCATAGTGGTACTAATTCAAGTGAGAATTGGAGGGACGATTCACCGGCTCCGATCTACTACGACGGATTTCTTTGGAGGAAATACGGTCAAAAGTCTATAAAAAAATCTGTTCACCAAAGGTAAAATTAGAAATAGTCTCTATTCATATGTAACTCTTTTTTGTTCCGATCATGACTAGTACTAATTTGTGTATGCATTAATGTTGATATAGGAGCTACTATAGATGTTCTTACAACATAGATCATGACTGCGGAGCAAGAAAGCATGAACAGAAGATCAAAGACAATCCTCCGGTTTACCGAACCACTTACTTCGGCCACCACACTTGCAAAACCACTCATAACCAAGATCACTTATTCACTGCCGTTCAAGATCAAGTCGATGATTTGGAAAGTGCCCGGATGATCCGTTTCGGAGAAGATCTTGTTCAGGATAAAGAAAGCCACACGAGAGGTTTCTCCTTATCGGCTAAGCATGAAGAAGATACCATCAAAGAGGAAACCATGGATCAGTGCCGTGTGATAACCGGTGATGATCAAGATTGTCAACATGTGATGGAAGAGAATCAGTCGTCACCATCAGGTTCTTACACTCCTCCGTCGTCTTCAGGCAGTGAAAGTGTCATGTGTGATTCAGATCTGTTAGTGGACAACTTAGCTTCGTGGGATTTTTATAATCAGTTTGACTTGGATTGCGCTAGATTTTTCAGCTAAGAATATTAAAGAAGGGGTTACCTTTTTACGTTAGCATATAAAGTGGAATTTGTAAATTATTCGGCCTACTCAGTAATGATATTATGAGTTTTGCTTGAATTTTTTTGGGGAAATTGCCACTTGTGTACCCCAACATTTTTTTTTTTAAAACGGTATACCCCATATGACACATTTGACCAGCGGTGTACCCCAAGGGGTGTAGAATGACCCTTTTATCTTTTGCGAGCAAATAATAAACGAGTGCGACAATGACCATTTTACCCACTGTATTGAAGTCTACGGAAGAAGTATACGACAATTAGACTTCAACACGAAGTCTACAACACCTTGACATCTTAAATTTAAATTAGAAAATTAAAGAAAAATATATAAATCAAAAAAATTATACATAAAAGAGACCTTGATATTTGGCATCTTTTAAAAAGATTTTTTCTTGCAAATGAATTACTCTAATTATAGCAAAGGCAAAGCAACAACAAACCTAGAAATTTTGATTGCGAAGTCTACTTGCGATGTCTACAATCTTACACAAACCTTAATATTTAAAATTAAAATGTATAAAAAATAGTTTGCTAAAAAATTTTGGATAGTAATCAAAGTAAATACAATTGTCATCTATATAAAATACAGTTCATTAGAATGTAAAGGTTTATAAGTATCATGTATATTTGGTCCAACAAGGATAGAGTGTAAGGTTCAATCATAGGGTTTAGTAGTATAAATTGTAAGGGTTTAGAAAAATATTTGTTGGAAACCAGGTTTTCACGATGTGTAATCATTTATGGCTCAAATCTCTGTTGATCATAATGTAATTTGTGTATATGCAACGAAAACTAACTTATGCTATACCTTTGTTTGTGTGAAATAGTCGGTTTAGTGTTTAGGGTATGGAAGACTTCTAGTGTAGACTTGCTGAGAAGACATGGACATGAAGTATAAATAACCGGAATCTTAAATTTAACCGGATGATCCCCTTTCATATAAATAGAGAGCGAAACCCTAATTTTGGTTAATCCATTGAAACGATTCTCTCTCTTGGCCACACGGCGCAGCTTCTCGTATCTGGTCCCCTCCTACAGTGTCCCGTACTTGTGGTAAGCGATGCACGTCTTCTTGTTACTTAAGCGTAATCATGTTCTTCTTCTATACACAGACTAATTACCTGTCGTCTTGTTTGTGGAAGGGTTTGTTGGGCCTATCTCTCATACTTTCGTGTCCAGATCTGTGCCAGAAACCGCTATCAGGTGAGCTTTATGAGGACATAATTATATTTTCTGTTAGTATAGGCATGTGTAGCTAATTTGGACCTCTTATGGTAGACAGGAATGGGGCGATACAGCTACAGTCAACCATCAAGTAGCTCTGTGAGGTTGTGCAGCCCGGACGAAGCAGATGTGAGCTCCACCAGTCGACACTATGGAATTCCTAATCTATGCTATTGTGGGTTGCCGACGATGATGAAAACAATGGACAACACAGATGAATATCCGGGTAGAATGTTCTTTGGATGCAAAGATTACAAGGTCAATCGAATGGTGGTAAGTTCCATAGTCTTTGTTATGTTTTGTTTTATGTCTACGCATCTCTATGTATCGTGAGTTCCATATGGCGTTTGTATAGGGTTGTGACCTCCATCTAGTAAAGTGGTGGGATGAGGCTATGATGGAGGAATTCGTTCTCCTGCGACGTGCTACTGACAACCAAGGAGATTGCGTTCGTGTCCTGAGAGTTGCTGATCGGATTGAGGCAGAGCTAGGTGAACTGAAACGCCTAGCTCTTACGGAGAACAAGCGTCACAGGGGAGTGGAACTGAACATCGTAATCGCGCTTGTCGTCCTCCTCGCAGGCTTCATCATAGCCTGCGGATGCATGATTATGTTTTAGAAAAGTTTGCATGGTTGTTTGAGGAGAGCTGTATAATATTTGTTGTATTTTCCGTGTTTTAGTAGACATCTAATGTAGACGTGAACGGTAGACTTTAAAAGTAGACTTCCTTATCGTTTTAAAGTATATGTTAAAAAATAATTACCAGAAAATTGGCTACATATTTATTGGTAACCCTAAAACCTTCATCATATGTTAGTCATGATGTTGACTACTGTAAAATTACCAATGTCAATTGCAATGTAAATGTAATTAGTCGAGTAGGAACGATATTAAGAAGACTTAATATTTTTAACTTCATGTGTAGACGACGAGGAGAAGTATACAATTAAACATTATTAGCGCGGGAAAATTCGCGGGCTTTTTTACTAGGGCATTCGAAATAATGACTTCATCTGTAGACATCATTAGAAAAGTACGTTTTTTCATAACTTCAATTGAACCAACTTGAATTTACAATAATTAGACCGAAAACCGCTCCGATTACCACGGGTATATCGATAACCGCTCCAATAACCGCTCCGACCGTGCGAGAGTTTACCTAATCTCCCCATTTGGTAAAGTTTCATTTTTCCCAAACGAAAGTTAAAATTTGTCACGAAAGGGCGATTTCCGACGTTTCGAACGCCGCCGGCGATTTCCTCTCACTTATATCTCCGCCGCCTGTGGATAATTCGTATAATCGTCGCTGCTGTAAAAATCTCCAAGTTCATCTCTCATCTCCCGTCCCGCTAGTAACGACCGTAAGCTATTTCCCTCTTGTATCAACTTTTGCAGATTCCAGTGTTCCACTTCACCGTACTAACGAATTAGCCTTCGTCTTGATATCCTCCGCCACCTATACTCCATTGTCGTTGATGTACTTCAGCATATCGTCGTTGCCATACTTCCTCCATCATCTTCACCATACCCCGGCGTGGTACCGAGTATAGCGGTAAACTAGGGTCAGTAAACTACCCAATCTTTCGATTAATGTTGTTTGTCGTTCGCCGTATATTAGGGTTTGGTGATAGACTTCGTATTAAGGCTTGGTATGTAGACTTCGTATTATGTCTTCGTATGTAGACTTCATATTTGGACTTCGTATTTAGACTTCGTATGTAGACTTCATAGTTCGACATCCGATGTTGACTTATACTGTAAACTTTAAAGTTATACTTCAATTTGTTATATACTAGTAATAGTGATCTTTTCGTTTCTTGCTATTGCATCAGGATGGAAAAGCCTACATTTCCTAGGAGGTTTTTCACCAAAGGTTCAGATCCTGAAAGCGACAAAAGCATCGGGTATTACAGCAACAACACGAAGTTGTTCGCAGCTCTCACCACACTCTTGACCGATGATGAATGGGCTGAGCTCGAGGAATCTCCGCTCGGGGTATTCTTCAGGTTCGTGAACAGCAAATTCTCATGGGCTTCAATGATTGTGAAGTGTATGCTCAATATGCAAATAGTGTGCAAGAAGCCCTTCGAGATTTGGAGTGTGGTTGGCTCAAATCCTGTAAGGTTTTCGTTGCACGAGTTTGAACACATTACCGGTCTTAACTGCGAATACAGAGAGAATCTCAAGGCACCTCTGACTGCGGACATAGATGAGAATGAATTTTCTGAGTTTTGGGAGAAACTTGGTGTTCATACCAAGTTTGGGCCTTCAGTTGATAACCTCACCCGAGCATGTGGGTGGGCCCAAGACTGGTCGAAAGAGGACAGAAAGAGGCTGGCTTATTTAGCCGTCTATGCTGGTTTCATTGTTGGCGAGAGGCAAACTATTGCCACACCGGTCGAGATGGCAAAGCTAGTAATGGATCTTGAAGAGTTTGAAGGTTATCCTTGGGGGAGAGTAGCTTTCTTGAATCTCATTGAATCTGTAAAATCTGCCAACCTCACCAAACACTACTACATTAACAGGTTTGTCGAAGTGCTACAAGTGTGGTCGTACTACGCAATGCCTAGCTTCGGTCAGGACTTCGGTGAGCCTGTAGTGGGTAGGGTATCTCCGACTATGATGGCCTTCAAAGGAATGAAAGGGCGCAAAAATATAATGCAGACTCTTCTTGCGCAGGTAAGTGACGTTTATCAATCCAATATGTGTGTCAATACTTGTACAATGACTGAATGAAACATATTACATGCAGGTTAATTTCAACCATATGATCATGGTGGACAGGGATAATGCTTACCCTAGGTGGGACAACGACGTCGACGATGAACACATCGAGAATGTGATGAAGGCTTTTTACGGAGAGCTCGGAGGGACCTGGAGATGGAAGCCTTCCGACTGGATATCCGAAGGAGTAATCGTCTTGGATAAGGTGAAGGAAGAGAAGGGAATTGACAAGAAGAGGCATCTGGATTCGGGTCTAGGGCCGTCAAAGAGACCATGCCCTGCCTACGGGATCGATGGACATACCTCGGGAGCTAGTTGGGATACATTCCAGTCCACTGTGGCTGCAATGTTTGAACAGTTCAGTAAGCAGCAGACAGGTGAGATCGGTCTCCGTTTCGATAGACTTGATGAGAAGGTTGAGGTCCTTACAAGCAAAATTAGTTGTATGGAGTCGACCATCGAGAAGCTTCAAATTGTCATGTCGGAGGAGGAGAGAGAAGCAATGTTAAGCCCGACAATGGTCCTGCGTTTTCTCCAGACGGGAAGCTTCCCGACGAGTCCGAAGCTGCAAAGGAGTAACTCGAACGCTGCGCAAATTCTCTGCTCGTATTGCAAATTCTCTGCTCGTATTGCTGCAAAACAAACAATGGATGAATCTGATAAGCTTGAGAATCCTAAACTCCCTCCCAGTAAGAAGAGTAAAAGTACTAAGACCAAGCGGAAGTAGTCTTGAAGACATCACTTCCACCAATCTGCCTTTACTGTTTGTTTGTTATTTTTCAAATAACTTTGGTTGTAGATTTCATGTCATCCGCCTACACTTTACTCAAAACATTTTTTTCAATCCATTTGGGACACACACACATTTAATAAGCAGTCTAACTTTGCTATTCTCTATCACTCGGTGTAGAACAAAACAGTTGCGTCCTCTGAGAGTGAGAGTGAGACTCCTGAGGAAGAGAGTTGCGAGCTTCTGAGAGAATACTTCCCCACCAAGGAAGAGAAGATTGCTGACCTCAAAAGAAGGCAACCGAAGGACACCGCAAAGGTTATTGACGCGAAGGCAAGAAAGACAGAAAGACTGAGGACACTTGCACAGACGCAAAATGGTATATATGTGGGCAGCAGCACGGTCAAGCGAATGTTCAGTAACAAAGAACCTAGAGGTCGTGGTTATGATCCCTTTCGGAAGGCGGATAAGCAGATGAAGGAGGTCGTCTTGGATCATTACAAGAGTTGTCCGTAAGTTCATTTCACCTTTATTCTTCAAATGTATACTTCGCATGATTTATTTTACCGAAACATAGTAACTAACTACCAATTCTTTGGTTCTCAGTGGACTAGGAAAAAAGAAGACCATTAAGACCGTTCATGACTATCCACTACGCTTTTGGTGGTATGACCTCCTAAATCAGAACGAGTGGCTCATTGACACGGTGAGAATAATATAATTTTATGAAATATTCATGTTCATTTCCATAGAATGGGTTAAGTGAGTGTTTTAGATGTTCGTTGTGCACATATGTTTATTTCGTACGTAGACTTCCTATGTAGATTTCGTTACTAATAATTTTTGGTTAAAAACGCAGCACATGAACGCTGCTGTCTACTTGCTGAGGACACGATTGTTGGATCACCCCGAATGGTTTAGAAGTGACAGGTTTTGTTTGGTTGACACCACATTTGGGCAATATTGGACGGCGAAGTACGACGAATTCAAGATGATAGAGCCCAACGAACTTGGTGAAGGAAGACCACTGCCAACGCTATCGTACGATTACTACAAAGGTGTCTTACCAGAGCCTCGACCGACAAACAAGATCTGGGGCGTCGACATCGATGAATTGTACATACCTTTCAACCTGAATGGTGACCATTGGGTTGCTCTATTCGTTTCCTTGCCAAAGAGGCACATCACCATATACGATAGTAAACCTAGTCACGTGAAGCCGGGTCTTTTGGCTTCTCTAATAGAACCTGTGACAGTGATGTTTCCATATCTGATGAGGCAGTTGGCGGATGAAGACAAAAAGTACGAGTGGACTCTCGAACCGTTCACCTACGACCGTCCTATCGACCAAGCTTCCGTGCCACAGCAGGCTAATGGCAGTGACTGTGGAGTGTTCACACTAAAGTTTATCGAGTGTCACGCCCTTGGTATTGAGTTTCCTCAGACCTTGTGCCATAAGAACATACCAAGCCTTAGGCTGAGGCTTGCATATGACCTATTCGAGGAGACAGGGGTCCGGGGACCAAAGGAGCGAGACTGGTCCGAGTTGGATTAATGCCAGCCAGTGGTTTAGGGAGGGTTTAGGAGGCGAGGACGTTTGTATTAGACTTTTTTGGGATCCGTTGAAAGGGTTACGCGGTATATTTTTTGGCATAACCTATCATTGGCATCGGTGTAAACTTCTACTGTATATAGCGGTAGACTTATTTTGTAAACTTCTATTGTAGATATCGGTATGACGTCTACTAGTTATAATATGTAAGACGTGGTCAGAACCAGTTAATGTATTAGATTGTATTTTAAATTCGAATCTATAGACTTCGATTGTGGACGTCATTAGCAGTTAATGTATTATAGTGTATTTTAAATAAAATCCACAAACATAAACGGTGTTCCAAGCATAGATAGTAATAGCCACTTAACAGTTAAACGAAAAAAATCAATGGATATAGTACGATAACATCATCCGTTGACGTCGGTTGTAGACTTCAGTCGTCAGCAGTCTTCAACCGGAAAAATATACGATTTGGACCGTTACTATAAGTTTTTTGAAAATTTATGTACCAGGATGAATAGAGAAGTGGTTTCACTTACGCATTTTGGACGAGTATGACCTGGTAATCTACACTTAGAGCATGTGTACGCTTTTGGCATCTTCCTCGGTTTATGCTTCCTCTTTCTTGCCATTTCTAACCAGCTTTGCCACCTAGATTTCTTTTTCCTACCAGGAGTGGGTTTTTCTTTAGGAGGACGGCAACGTTCCTTCTTCACGGAGGAGAATCTGGAAGGAGGAGGAAAAAGTGGATGCGCGTACGTTGAGTGACAGGTGTTCCTCTTGTAAGCCGGACTCACATAATCGGAGACTGACAATCCAGCCATTGTAATTGCAGCAATGACGTGCGAACATGGTATCTTTTCAATATCAAACACACCACAAGAGCACGTTCGGAGCTCAAGATCGACGTTATAGTATCCTGATGTAGACTTAACTTGGAAATGCCAATCATCTATGCGCTCCACGTCCATAAAACCTGCATAGTACTCACGAATAGACAACAAGTATTCAACTCCTTTGCTATGATCGGTGGTGAGACCTAGAGCATTTTCACGCCTCTTGAGGAACCAGTGGCTCAACCTCTCTCTGATAAACTCTAAGAGAAAAGGTATTGGAAAATCTTTGGCTTTCTTCACCATGGCGTTAATCGACTCCGCGATATTGCTAGTCTTTAGGTTGTATCTTTCTCCTGGGCAGTGAACTCGTGACCACAAGCTCGGATCGGCTCCCTCCAAGTACGTTGCAAGCGCCGGTTTTGCAGCTCGTATTTGATCCATATACCAGTTGTAAGTGTCCACCGTGTGCGCATATGCAGCACCTTTGACCATATACATGATTTCTTTCGCGTGGTAAGTTCCAATTATGTTATTTTGCATATGATAGTAGCATATACCTCTTGTTGCCCATGGCAGGACACTTTCAATTGCATTGGCGATAGCTGGGTGTCTATCAGAGACTATGACCAGTGGGAAATCCTCAGTGAAGCAACTTTTCAACTTGTTGAAAAACCACCCCCAAGACTCATTATTCTCTGCATCTACAACAGCAACAGCCAAGGGGAAGACTTGGAAGTTGCCATCCTGACCAGCTANATTGTTATGCCATGTGGATCTTGAATGCTGTCGAACTATTTCAATAGTTGATTCAGCTTTGTTTTTTTGCACCTCGAATCAACTTTTGCAATCTCTGTTCAATTGACATTTATGATATAAGAAATATCTTACTTGTCATAAAATGGAGTTTTAAATTGTGAATATGATACAATCAAATTACTCTTGCATCACATAATCAAAATTCTATTCCAGAAATTCGCCTGCTAAGGTAACACCTTAGAGAAATGGCACCGTCGTGGCTCTAGCTCGCAGAAATTCAGCATACGTAATTTTTTTCCTTCAGGAGAAAGTAGGTCAAACACTAGAATTAAACGAAAACTTCTCTTACAAGTAAATCAAAGCCTTGCAAAATCTCAATAAAGAAATAAAAAGAGCTATTAATCGTAAAATCCAAGGAAATTCTAGGATAAAAACCTGATAAACTAATCACTGAAACTTTAGAATTCATGTTTAACCATATGATCTTTAAGGTATGACTCACACCTGTCCAAGTAAGACCAGTCTTGGTCTTGGTCTGACTCAAACTGGTCTGATTGGTCTGACTCAGACTTGTCTGACTGATCTGAGTCAGACCCGAGGACCTGGATGACGAGAGCTGCAATGTTTTCTCCGCGTGACCCACGCAAGGTATCAAGAAGAGGCTCCAACTTGTCGACAATATCATCTACCAAATCATACAAATGATGATAATCTGCCACATGTAGAGTCTTTTCCAAAACCCGATTCCCGTATTCATCCTTGGCCAATCTCACCAACGTATCTTCGTCACAGTTGACAATCTCCATCACCATAAAAATCAAAGGCAGCATGAAATCTTGGTCAACTTCACCGAGGAGCTTCTCCACAATGTTGCTTCCATTATTCAGAAAAGAAAGCTCAATGTAGTGGCATTGAAGCCCACAAGCGATGAATTCCGTACAGTTCGGGTTGTGTATATTAATGGCGTGCAGTACGGCGGCGTTTCCCATAATAGGTTGCTTGGATAGGTAGAAAGCGTTGTATCCAACTAGGCGTAGGATTTGCGCGTACACATTCTTGTTTCCTCTTTTCTCGAAAACGTTTATGGTTCGTAACATGATGCGATGACCGTGATGAGTGATTGCAAGATCGGTGTAGCCTCGCCTGATGGCCTCCCAAAACACTCTGTCGACTTCTTCTGATCTTCCAAGGATGATCTGAACCATGAGCAAGCCTCTTATTGTTTTGACAAACTCCAAAAAGAGACGAGAATCTGACGTCAGCTTCGAGGCAAGGTTAAGAAGCTCCACCGTGTCACATGTCGGGAGAATCTCATCAAACTCCGCGAATAGCTCGTGCAAGAGCGTGTCGTCTTCTGTGGCTTTCCGTGTATAGTCGAGGTTAAGCACATGTTGGATTAAGGAGATTCCTAAATCGTCCTCGCTTAGGAAGTGAGCCTTGAGAGAGATCAGCTCGAGGAAATCAGATTTTAAGATATCATCAGCTATTGTTATGGCTTTCTTGAGTGTGCTGCAACCGTTTTCGTCACGCGCCAAGAGAAGGGCGTGACGGTACGTGGTCTGGCAAAACGTGTTCTTTTGGTCAATGTTGCAAACGTCTAGGAGTCGTGACGCCAAAGCTTTGCCGCTCTTAAGAGTCATAGTCGCGGGGAATCTGGCCATGATTGTTTGGAAAAGTATCGTGTTGATATCGTCTGATATTCCTAAGATCCTCATGACGCGGTCCAAGCCTGCTTCGTCGCTGATGATTTCGACCAAGTTATCTGAATCTGACGTTAGCGTATTCGCAAACTTCTTGAGGTCATAGGAGGCTGAGAGGATCCTAAGAAACTCGTCCTCGTAAAATTTTTCGCTACTAGTCATTACTCTGTGGCACCACCTGGTTTGTGCCTCAGAGTTGTCGTCGTAGATGCTCTCCATAGTTCGAGGGAATTAGTCCAAAGAGGTTTCTGTGTGTATGTGTTGTTTGATGTTTGAACGATGAATGTTGGATCAGTAATGATTTGTATATTTTTATAGCCTTTTCGTTTCTCCTTTTTAAGGTGGGTTTTGTATTCCTAAGTAGAATCCAAGTGAGATAGATTCGTTCGAGTTTCCATATTCCTTTTCAGTCGTCAGGCTAAAACTGTGAATTTACTCATTAATTAATTCATATATTATTCTATAATGTAGTGTGTTTTGTTCAGAATTTCCTTTCTTTTTTCCATGAGAATTTTGATTTTCAGCGTTAAAAAAAAAACTCTAGATTACCGGTCTTAACTGCGAATACAGAGAGAATCTCAAGGCACCTCTGACTGCGGACATAGATGAGAATGAATTTTCTGAGTTTTGGGAGAAACTTGGTGTTCATACCAAGTTTGGGCCTTCAGTTGATAACCTCACCCGAGCATGTGGGTGGGCCCAAGACTGGTCGAAAGAGGACAGAAAGAGGCTGGCTTATTTAGCCGTCTATGCTGGTTTCATTGTTGGCGAGAGGCAAACTATTGCCACACCGGTCGAGATGGCAAAGCTAGTAATGGATCTTGAAGAGTTTGAAGGTTATCCTTGGGGGAGAGTAGCTTTCTTGAATCTCATTGAATCTGTAAAATCTGCCAACCTCACCAAACACTACTACATTAACGGTTTGTCGAAGTGCTACAAGTGTGGTCGTACTACGCAATGCTTCGGTCAGGACTTCGGTGAGCCTGTAGTGGGTAGGGTATCTCCGACTATGATGGCCTTCAAAGGAATGAAAGGGCGCAAAAATATAATGCAGACTCTTCTTGCGCAGGTAAGTGACGTTTATCAATCCAATATGTGTGTCAATACTTGTACAATGACTGAATGAAACATATTACATGCAGGTTAATTTCAACCATATGATCATGGTGGACAGGGATAATGCTTACCCTAGGTGGGACAACGACGTCGACGATGAACACATCGAGAATGTGATGAAGGCTTTTTACGGAGAGCTCGGAGGGACCTGGAGATGGAAGCCTTCCGACTGGATATCCGAAGGAGTAATCGTCTTGGATAAGGTGAAGGAAGAGAAGGGAATTGACAAGAAGAGGCATCTGGATTCGGGTCTAGGGCCGTCAAAGAGACCATGCCCTGCCTACGGGATCGATGGACATACCTCGGGAGCTAGTTGGGATACATTCCAGTCCACTGTGGCTGCAATGTTTGAACAGTTCAGTAAGAAGCAGACAGGTGAGATCGGTCTCCGTTTCGATAGACTTGATGAGAAGGTTGAGGTTCTTACAAGCAAAATTAGGAGTATGACGTCGAACGCTGCGAAGGAAGCTGACAATAACAATCCTGCTGGCCCGGTTAGTACAGATAACTCTCGCAAATTCTCTGCTCGTATTGCTGCAAAACAAACAATGGATGAATCTGATAAGCTTGAGAATCCTAAACTCCCTCCCAGTAAGAAGAGTAAAAGTACTAAGACCAAGCGGAAGTAGTCTTGAAGACATCACTTCCACCAATCTGCCTTTACTGTTTGTTTGTTATTTTTCAAATAACTTTGGTTGTAGATTTCATGTCATCCGCCTACACTTTACTCAAAACATTTTTTTCAATCCATTTGGGACACACACACATTTAATAAGCAGTCTAACTTTGCTATTCTCTATCACTCGGTGTAGAACAAAACAGTTGCGTCCTCTGAGAGTGAGAGTGAGACTCCTGAGGAAGAGAGTTGCGAGCTTCTGAGAGAATACTTCCCCACCAAGGAAGAGAAGATTGCTGACCTCAAAAGAAGGCAACCGAAGGACACCGCAAAGGTTATTGACGCGAAGGCAAGAAAGACAGAAAGACTGAGGACACTTGCACAGACGCAAAATGGTATATATGTGGGCAGCAGCACGGTCAAGCGAATGTTCAGTAACAAAGAACCTAGAGGTCGTGGTTATGATCCCTTTCGGAAGGCGGATAAGCAGATGAAGGAGGTCGTCTTGGATCATTACAAGAGTTGTCCGTAAGTTCATTTCACCTTTATTCTTCAAATGTATACTTCGCATGATTTATTTTACCGAAACATAGTAACTAACTACCAATTCTTTGGTTCTCAGTGGACTAGGAAAAAAGAAGACCATTAAGACCGTTCATGACTATCCACTACGCTTTTGGTGGTATGACCTCCTAAATCAGAACGAGTGGCTCATTGACACGGTGAGAATAATATAATTTTATGAAATATTCATGTTCATTTCCATAGAATGGGTTAAGTGAGTGTTTTAGATGTTCGTTGTGCACATATGTTTATTTCGTACGTAGACTTCCTATGTAGATTTCGTTACTAATAATTTTTGGTTAAAAACGCAGCACATGAACGCTGCTGTCTACTTGCTGAGGACACGATTGTTGGATCACCCCGAATGGTTTAGAAGTGACAGGTTTTGTTTGGTTGACACCACATTTGGGCAATATTGGACGGCGAAGTACGACGAATTCAAGATGATAGAGCCCAACGAACTTGGTGAAGGAAGACCACTGCCAACGCTATCGTACGATTACTACAAAGGTGTCTTACCAGAGCCTCGACCGACAAACAAGATCTGGGGCGTCGACATCGATGAATTGTACATACCTTTCAACCTGAATGGTGACCATTGGGTTGCTCTATTCGTTTCCTTGCCAAAGAGGCACATCACCATATACGATAGTAAACCTAGTCACGTGAAGCCGGGTCTTTTGGCTTCTCTAATAGAACCTGTGACAGTGATGTTTCCATATCTGATGAGGCAGTTGGCGGATGAAGACAAAAAGTACGAGTGGACTCTCGAACCGTTCACCTACGACCGTCCTATCGACCAAGCTTCCTGTGCCACAGCAGGCTAATGGCAGTGACTGTGGAGTGTTCACACTAAAGTTTATCGAGTGTCACGCCCTTGGTATTGAGTTTCCTCAGACCTTGTGCCATAAGAACATACCAAGCCTTAGGCTGAGGCTTGCATATGACCTATTCGAGGAGACAGGGGTCCGGGGACCAAAGGAGCGAGACTGGTCCGAGTTGGATTAATGCCAGCCAGTGGTTTAGGGAGGGTTTAGGAGGCGAGGACGTTTGTATTAGACTTTTTTGGGATCCGTTGAAAGGGTTACGCGGTATATTTTTTGGCATAACCTATCATTGGCATCGGTGTAAACTTCTACTGTATATAGCGGTAGACTTATTTTGTAAACTTCTATTGTAGATATCGGTATGACGTCTACTAGTTATAATATGTAAGACGTGGTCAGAACCAGTTAATGTATTAGATTGTATTTTAAATTCGAATCTATAGACTTCGATTGTGGACGTCATTAGCAGTTAATGTATTATAGTGTATTTTAAATAAAATCCACAAACATAAACGGTGTTCCAAGCATAGATAGTAATAGCCACTTAACAGTTAAACGAAAAAAATCAATGGATATAGTACGATAACATCATCCGTTGACGTCGGTTGTAGACTTCAGTCGTCAGCAGTCTTCAACCGGAAAAATATACGATTTGGACCGTTACTATAAGTTTTTTGAAAATTTATGTACCAGGATGAATAGAGAAGTGGTTTCACTTACGCATTTTGGACGAGTATGACCTGGTAATCTACACTTAGAGCATGTGTACGCTTTTGGCATCTTCCTCGGTTTATGCTTCCTCTTTCTTGCCATTTCTAACCAGCTTTGCCACCTAGATTTCTTTTTCCTACCAGGAGTGGGTTTTTCTTTAGGAGGACGGCAACGTTCCTTCTTCACGGAGGAGAATCTGGAAGGAGGAGGAAAAAGTGGATGCGCGTACGTTGAGTGACAGGTGTTCCTCTTGTAAGCCGGACTCACATAATCGGAGACTGACAATCCAGCCATTGTAATTGCAGCAATGACGTGCGAACATGGTATCTTTTCAATATCAAACACACCACAAGAGCACGTTCGGAGCTCAAGATCGACGTTATAGTATCCTGATGTAGACTTAACTTGGAAATGCCAATCATCTATGCGCTCCACGTCCATAAAACCTGCATAGTACTCACGAATAGACAACAAGTATTCAACTCCTTTGCTATGATCGGTGGTGAGACCTAGAGCATTTTCACGCCTCTTGAGGAACCAGTGGCTCAACCTCTCTCTGATAAACTCTAAGAGAAAAGGTATTGGAAAATCTTTGGCTTTCTTCACCATGGCGTTAATCGACTCCGCGATATTGCTAGTCTTTAGGTTGTATCTTTCTCCTGGGCAGTGAACTCGTGACCACAAGCTCGGATCGGCTCCCTCCAAGTACGTTGCAAGCGCCGGTTTTGCAGCTCGTATTTGATCCATATACCAGTTGTAAGTGTCCACCGTGTGCGCATATGCAGCACCTTTGACCATATACATGATTTCTTTCGCGTGGTAAGTTCCAATTATGTTATTTTGCATATGATAGTAGCATATACCTCTTGTTGCCCATGGCAGGACACTTTCAATTGCATTGGCGATAGCTGGGTGTCTATCAGAGACTATGACCAGTGGGAAATCCTCAGTGAAGCAACTTTTCAACTTGTTGAAAAACCACCCCCAAGACTCATTATTCTCTGCATCTACAACAGCAACAGCCAAGGGGAAGACTTGGAAGTTGCCATCCTGACCAGCTGCGACAAGAAGAACTCCACCATACTTCCCAGTCAGATGTGTACCATCAACAACAATCACTCGCCTTACGTACTGAAAACCTACTATTGAAGCTCTAAACGATACGAAACAGTACATGAATCGATCCATCCCATCTCGCACAAGGTCAGTAATAGTTCCTGGGTTTGCTTCTTTGATTCTTTGCAAATATGAAGCCAAGTTCGCATATCCCTCTTCCGCTGTCCCTCGAACGTATTCTTGAGCAGCTTTCAAAGCCCTATATGACGAGGTATAACTGAGTTTCAAACCAAACATCACTTTCATAGATATAGCAATGTGTTGAGGCACTATTCCCTCAATAATGCCAACCCTCTCCATGAATAAAGCTCCGATATATTTTGCTGTACAGCTCCTACGGTGAGCTATACGGTCTACAACGGAACAAGTATGAGTGTCTACGTACTTTGTGACCCAAAACGCGGTTGGTTCGTTCTTCACAGCCGCCCTGACTCGCCAGGCACAACCTTGGACGTTGCAAATGGCAACAAATAGTTCTGGAGTAGACTTGAAGACATGGAAAGAGAATCTGTGAACCAGAGCCATCAATCGCAACATGCAAAGAAGTTCTTCTTTGTCTCCAAAACGCTGTCCAACGATAATGACGGCGTCCTTATGCTTATCAAAACGACCTCCTTCATTATAGCAACGCCCTTTAAGCCGGATATCGTCGAGAGGAACCTTTTTCTCACGCACATCTTCGTCTACGACTCTCCCATACACACTGTAATCAGCTTCTGTTTCATCAATATCCCCCTTACTCCAATCTGTTGGTGGATTTGGTGGAATTGGATCATCTTCCCATTCCTCTTCCGCCTCATTATCTTCGTGTGAATGTACATCCCAGTCCTCATCATCGGAAGACAAACCCCACTCACTATCATGTTCTACATTATCAGCAACAGGTACATCGTCTTTCATATGATTCCTTTGCTGGCTCGAAACACAGAGGCGTAGTACGTACGTTCTACTAAGCTCAATCAGACTTTGAACTTGCCTATCAGTCGTTACAAACGTAGGAGGAGAATCAATGGGCAGCTGCTGGAGCATAATGTCTGGAAGTGGGTATCCTATCTGTAAAAGCTCAGCATTCTTATCAACCCCATAATCATCTTTCGCCATGTCAACGAGCTCGACATATGTACAACCATCTCTCAGTGAGAAAAGTCTTCCTCCCTTGTCGTCATCCACCTCAAAGAACCAGGTCCCTTTGTCTCTCCTATCCCATTTTCCATAAACAGCAGCTATGTACACCATCTTCTGCAAATATAAGAGAAAGAAGAAGTAAATATTAGTGGGGTAATAGAGTAAGTAGACTTCATGATGAAGTCTACAACATTATCAGCTACTGCCCAAAAAAGCTAAGAACTTTGATTTTCTGAAACATATAATGATTAAGCACGCCAAAATGATACACAGGAAATTAAACAGATTAAAACAACTCATTGTCAAAGAAAATCTTGAAAATTAGTAGGTCATAATGCTCAAATATCGAATTAAAAAAACATACACAAAGTAGACTTCATAGTGAAGTGTAACGGTAAACATCAGAGTGAAGTATACTTTATTATACCTACTGTCCAACAAAATTGAAAACAACGATTTACTTCAAAATATAATGATTAAGCACGTCAAAATGATACACAGGCAAGTAAACATACTACTACAGCTTATTGCCAAAGAAAATCTTAAAAATTTTAATGTCATAACGCACAAAAATAGAATTTCATTTTCAGTCACAATGTAGACTTCATCGTGCCCTCTACATGTAGCTATCAATGAGAAGTCTACCAAGGGGTACACCAAATGCAATTGACCAAATCACGACTTTTTTACGAAGTCTACATTGGAAGTCTACACATACAGGGGTATACTTTTGCAATTGACCAAATCACGACTTTTTGAATTAGACTTCATATTGAAGTCTACTACCATAAGTAGACTTCACAATGAAGTCTCCACGTAAAGTAGACTTCATATTGAAGTCTACTAGCAAAAGTTGACTTCAATATAAAGTCTACTCCCTTATTAGGACTTCATATTGCATGACACCATCCGTGGTACTATTCATTCGTTGACCGGTAGACTTCATTTCGTAGCAGTAGACTTCATACAGAAGTATACACGTCAAAGTTGACTTCAATATGAAGTCTACACGTCAAAGTAGACTTCATATTGAAGTCAACAGTGATAAAAGAAGTCTACTTCAAAAAGTCGTGATTTGGTCAATTGCAAAAGTATACCCCGAGTGAGTAGACTTCAACTGTAGAGTTCAACAACGAAAGTCTTCGTCTGGTCAATTGCAATTGGTGTACCCTTTCCTAAAGTAGACATCTTAGAGAAGTCTACACAAGGGGCCCACATTTTTTGTTATGAAAGGAATTATACAGACTTCTTGATGAAGTCAACAATCCCGAATTTTTGAAAACGTAGACTTCAAATTGAAGTCTACCTCGCGCCGAAGGTTTGAAATTCACGAAAATCGAACGAAAAATCACCTTGAATAGCTGTTTGGTGTAGTGGACGGCGGATTGCGTCGATTTAAACCTTTAATAGAGAAACCCAGCCGTTTCCGTGAGCTTGGTGACCGGAAAAGGCATCATAGAAGAAGTTGGATGTGGAAGAGATGCATTTTCGAGTTTTTGTGATGAAAATGAAGAAAATAAGTGAGAGAAGAAGGTTAGAAGAGAATAGAGTGAGATTTCGGTGGTGTAAATGGGGAGAAGAAGCATTGAAAGCTTCAATATGGTTGAAAATGGTAGTTGGATGAATTGAATTGGATGGCATTTTGGTGAATAAGTGTAGGAGATGAGGTTGGTTTGGACATTATTGTTTTCGAAATAAATCGAAAAATTATAAAAGCTGATGGCATTTCTGTAGATATGTTGAGAGGGTAAGGATAATATAGAGTAAGATGGGTGTAAGTATTACAGGGGTATACTTTTGCATTTGACCAAAACATGGGGTATACTTTTGCAATAATCCCAATTTTTTTTTATCAGAAAAAACAATATGAGTTTTCCCGTTAATGAATTATTTGGATCTTTCGTCGGATTCGCGTAATTTATAATTTTATTTACAAAGGAGTAGTATTTTATTTGGCAGCCTCCCTCGATCAAAGGAAACTTCCAGCATGTAATCATCGTACTATTTGGAATTACGCTCGCTAGATTTTGGTGCGTATTATGTCACTATAAAGAAAAATTAAACTAGATGATCACGTAATCCAATTTTAAAATATTAGATATATAACAACTTGACTTAAGCAGAAAAAGAATTTTATCCTAAAGAAAAAAGAGTGATGTAATGTGATTAATCCATTCCAGTGTTAAAAAGTCTTATCATTTTTCTTTATGATCTAAACAAGACGCTGCTTAGATCCGCACACTGAGACTCCCCTCTCTTTTTTATGTAGTATTTTCTAAATAATTTCACCATTAGACCAAAAGACTCATATTATTAGGGTTCAAGTAGACATATTTTAACACTCCATGTACATTTCTACCATCTTGTGCTGTTTTTGATGCTTCTTCTACTTACCATATTCCAAAAGCCTTATTTTCTTTGCAGCCAATGCTTACTTTCGCTCCCCCTAACGATAATTGAATGCATGTGGCCCTACTCTCTCTTTTATCGTTGCCTTAAGCAGCACCTAATCTTTTGAGTTTTTTTTTTCTCTTTGTTTGAAAACTTATATATTCTAAATAGCTTATATGTATAATTTTACTGCCTCGGTCTTAAACTGTTCTATGCATATTCTTCAAACCACATACGTAGCTACCTAGCTAGTTTTCATGGGGTCCTTAGTGAAAGAACGATCTTCGAGAACTTGTTTAAAAACATATACTATATCATTACTAATTAGTAATTACCGCATTCAGCCATAAAGAAACATGTAAATCAGCTACATAAAAGCAGCAGGAGATCAGTGGCTAGTGGGTCAAGACAATATTACATTTAAGAAAGCAATCTAAAAACTTGCGAAGGTTTTAAACATGACGAACATTACATCTCAAGTCCAAATGATCTTCCTTATTTGTCCTTTGTTTTTGTCGCTCCTCGTAAATCAAAAGTCTTCACTTTGTTAAAATCGTTTTTCCTCGAAGTGGAGACATGAGTGGAGACATGTTCAGGTTCGACGTATCCAAATGGTCTTATGATGTTCGCCTTCTTTTCCGGGATTTCTTCTTCATCATCAGCTTTCACTGCTACAAGCTCAACCACATCCTCTGCTTTCACAGGTTTATCTTCTTTTTTACTCTGCTTCTTCCTGAAGCAACTTAGACATCCTTTAAACATTTTTATGAATTTTAACAGACTATTTTCTTGAAGATGTTTATATATCTTCAGTATGAGGAGGAAATAGTTTTTGGCTTCTCGCAGATATTATAGTAAGCGTGTTCTCTTGACTTGTTGAAAGTTGACTAGTAACAAGTACATCCTTTTTGACTCAGTCCAACCTAAATTACGGATTTCTCATGGACTGTTCTTTAAGTATGCATCCAAAAAAACATCAATATTTCTACTTTAGAGATAAACATAAAAAGAGTGATATGAGTAATACATTTGTTCCTTTGCCGACCTAACGTGGAGACTTGTCAAGATTTTGTAAGTGCGAAACTTCATTCTTCCTCCTCCTTCAACTTCATTAGTCTTTGTTTCACTAAAAACAAAATATAATTGGAGGAAGACTAATTAATCCAGCAAAAAAAAAAACATATTTGAAGTCTTCCACCTTACCAGAAGAGGATCAAAATCAATGAATCCACAGGCCCAACAAAGCACCGGCGAAAACATTCATGATCCGATTCCGACATCAGTTGTAGACATACGTCGCTTAATCTCAGAAGATATTGGTCTGGAGCTATTGAGAGAATCAGCTGGGTCAGAGTCATGTTGCATCGCTAGAATCCCACAAAGCCTTGCTAGAACCAACCTCAAAGCCTACGAACCAAAGATTGTCTCCATTGGTCCTTACCATCACGGCAAAGAACATCTCAATTTGACTCAGCAGCATAAACGCAGATTCTTGAATTTTTTCGTTGCGAAAATGAAAGAAAACGGAACGGATCCTCAAGAATTAGGCAAAGCTGTATCAAGTTTGGAAGGAGATATAAGAGGATCTTACTCTGAGGATTTTGGTTTAGATTCTCAAAAACTGGTTGAGATGATGGTTCTTGATGGTTGCTTTATCCTCACGTTGTTCTTTGTAGTCTCAGGGAAAGTTGTTTACACTAATCTTGATGATCCCATTTTCAGAAAACCATGGATCTTGCCGTCGATTCGAGCCGATCTTCTCCTTTTGGAAAACCAGGTTCCTTACGTTCTTCTTCAAACCCTCTTCGATACATCGAAGTTAGTTACTTGCAGTGGCGGTTTAAAAGAGATCGCGTTTGACTTCTTCGACTACTCCTACTCGTTACAAAAACCAGAGGCGTTTTGGAGAAAACATTATAGTCTTGAAGCAAAACATCTTCTTGATTTGATACGCAAGACTTTCGTCCCCGTTCCTTGTCCAAGAAGCATCAAAGAATCTAGCAATGAAACCTCATTGAATGATAATTGTTTTCTTGGATTTGTTCTATCAGCCAAGAAGCTTCATACTCGAGGGATTAAATTCAAACCGAGGAAGAACACAGACTCGATCTTAGACATAAATTTTAGTGACGGCGTGCTTCATATTCCTCCGATAGTCATGGATGATTTTACCGCCACGTTCTTCTTAAACTGTGTTGCATTTGAGCAGTTATACGCAGATTCTTCAAACCACATAACGAGCTACGTTGCTTTCATGGCTTGTCTTATAAACGAAGAGATCGATGCAGCGTTCCTCAGCGAGAGAAGGATTCTTGAGAACTATTTTGGAACAGAGGACGAAGTTTCAAGGTTTTTCAAAAGCATTGGCAAAGATGTTGCCCTGGACTTAGAGAAGAGTTATCTAGCGAAGGTGTTTGAAGGAGTTAACGAGTATACTTCTAAAGGGCTTCATGTCTATTGCGCAGAGTTTGTTCACACGCATTTTGATAGTCCTTGGACGTTTGCATCGTCGTTTGCAGCGTTGCTGCTTCTTATGTTTGCGGCTTTGCAAGTTTTCTTTGCAGCTTATAGTTATTTCCGCCCTCCAAATCCTAAAGGAAAGTAAGAGATGCTTCTTGTACACGTAAACACATTGAATGAGTTTTTAACTTAATGTATAATTGTTCTGATTCTAGATTCTATATTTTGTGCTAATTTCTTCAACACTTTTGATTCTTGGTTTCTGAACATATATATTTCTAGCTTTAAAATATAACCAAATGCATTAAATTACGGATCAGTGACTCAAAACAAGATGATATCATGCATAAATGTTTCATATAAGTTTATATGGGATGAGAAAATCATCTCTTAACCAATTATCTTCTCACTTGGCCACGGTTTTTGTGACCCCTCGTAAATCAAAGGTCTTCACTTTGTGGAAATCATTACTCAGTGATGAAGAAGAGACACCTGCATGGAGTTTGTCACTATACTCTTGCCAATTAGGATCGTTGCTGTCTACACGTGAGCATGGGGTGAATATCCATGGCTCATTAATGGTGGGTGTCTTCTTGTCCGCACCGTTTTCGTCTTCTTCTTCTACAAACTTCTCTGGCAATCTCTCTGCTTTCAAGGGTTTGTCTTCTTTCTTGCTCTGCTTTTTCCAGAGTCGCATGACTTTGAAACAAGTTAGACATCCTGTAGACATTTTTTCTTCTGATAAGAGAGATGGGTTTTTCTTGACAAACAATATGTGCTTGTTTGTGGAACTTAAATCTTGTCTATGAGAACGATATTTTAGCTGAATGATATATATATTAGCGTGTTTCTTTGACTTCCTGAGAGTTGACTTAAGTAAACGTAGAATTTGATGACTCCTCGCAGATTCCTTTTCTTCTACCACTCATTTGCTTGGAAACTAGATAATCTAAAGTTGGTTTGGCTTGCATTGATATTTTTTACACTTTTAGTATTTTTCTTATCCACAAAGTTATTTTTGTTACGTGATTTTCACAAAGCCTAAAACCATCTTTAGATATTTTAAATAACAAATTATTATTTAAACCCAGTTTTGATAAGATACTTGATACATAATATGGGGACTCTCTCAGAACATAGGACACGTGGCTTCAAGGGAGAAACGATCTGGCCTCCCATCCGTAGCTCTCTTGATGATACCATTGTACTCCCTACCAGCGACGGTTTTGAAGGTAATGTAGAAGATTGCATTCTTGGCCTTGGCCGGCTCGACATCCTCTGTGGTTTGCACAAAAACCTTTACCACCTCAAGAGGCAATGCATCCAGATATCGGAACTGCAACACAAGACAAGACAGCACCAAGAGATTAGAGTAGAGATGATTAGCCTAGACAACTAGTAAAGACAGCTCTTTAGAGTATTGTAGAAGTCCTCACCCCGTATCCAAACCAGGAGTACAAGGCGAGTTCGGCGTACACAAGCAGCCAGTCTTTGTTTTCTTGCACGTCAGAGTCATTCATCTGTGCAAACAACATCACCAAAGATGTTCAGTTAAGAGAAAGAAGAACAGGAAACATTTGATTAAGACTTGAAAGGTAGAGAGGGGAGAAGGGAGATGACGATCACTATCACACCTCGTAGTATTGCGGCTTATCAACGGCATTCTTAGGCAACCAAACGGGCATCCAAAGACTGCTAGGGCCATGATGCCAGTTTTGGGAGAAGCCATCTGTAGTCAAACATGGAAACCAACAATCTATTAGACACGTCACAAAGAGGAGTTAAAGGTGCGTTATCCAATCTAACATTGTTACATCGTTACCAAGAGGAAGCTTTCTGGCGTCGAGTGTATGGACAGTGAAGCAACCTTCATTCTCTTCCGCAAGGTGAACACGTGTTAAAAACTTGCACTTGATATTGCCTGTTGGATCCTCTGCCCCTAGTATTACAGTGCGGTAGTAGTTTCCTTGTCCAGACCCAGAAGTTAAAAGTTTGTCCCCTAGAGCAAATTAAGGCAAAACAGACTCGACTTAAATCGCTAAAACAGCGTAAAGCAGCAGTTGAGAGAGTTGATAAGTAGAGGGGCAAAACAATTCATTATTTTCGTACATTTTCGAGATTGTAGCAATGAAGTCCAATTCTCCCAAAGAGACGCGTCTCCACAAGCTTAGCATCCTGATTCAAAAGAAGAAGGAAGTGTTGAGTGAGTCAAAAGAAGAAGAAGAAGAAGAAGAAAAAAGTATCATCTCAGTAATATATGGAACAAAGCAAAGTGATTACCTTAGCTTGTTCCTCATAACTGCCAAGGAAAGTTTCTTCTACCTGGATAATGCCGGGGGAAGGGGGACTTGGTGGTAGATAAGAAATTTTGTAACCAGGAGCAGCGCAACCTTGTGATTCCAGCTGCTCCCATGGTACATAGTCATAAAAACTTGGTGATATTAAATCCGGTGGTGGGTGAAACGGGTCGTAGACTGCCAGCTGAGCCGGGTCTGTTGCATCAGAGCACCCGCTTCTGCTTCTTTCATTTTCCGGAGATGGTAGAGCAACATCGAGTGCCTTAAAAAAAAAAGTTAGATGAGGATTCAACGCAAATGTCTCGGAAGAGACCACCGTTAAAAAAGAACCCAGTTACCGTAACACTGAAGGTGTCAATGTCACTGGCTTCAACCACCTCCTTCATCATGACGTCCTTGTCCATTCTTGGAAATTCGTACACGTAATCTATCAAACCCCAAATTAAGTCCACAGAGACGTCAAACATAGTTAATTCAACCATTTACGGGAAAAATCAGGTTTTGACTAGATAAAATAATTGTTGAACCATGAAAGACAAAAAAATGTTGGTGAAAGAAGATTCCATGCATGCAGGATAAAGTAACCAAAATGAACAAAAGGAGAATGCGAAACGAAAGAAGACTTTCGTACCTTCTCTCTCTATCCCAGAGATAAAATGAGAATTGTCCCAAAATTTTACCCCCAACACATTATTTTATAGGCAGGCATCCCTAAAAAACCGACATAGTTATTGGGTTTTTTATAAACTTAATTGCAATCAAAGCCCAATAATTGCAATCCAAAGCAACAAATAACTGGAATCAATTCAAAGCCAAATATATAGTCCCCTAGTGTCACAAGGTTTACTACTACACCTTTTGTCTCTTCAGGCTTAGAATTTTTGCCATCAAGCAGTGGCAGGCATCTCGATGTTTCCAAAGTATAAAACTTAAACAGCGACACTCTTGTTCATGTGTGAAGAGAGAAAACCTTTTACGTGACTGAAAAAAAGAAGAGAAAATCCTTTAAACAGAGCACCATAAAGATCCCAACCTAATTGCTGGAATATTTTTCTAGAAAGAGTTTGGATTACCTGTTGTCTCTAGACTCTAGTGACCCATCATCGTCTACTTCTCGTGTTCTTTCCATTTTTATCGTTTTGCACTATCCGATATTTTATCATAGCTGTTTTCTAAGAAGCGCATGTTTCAAGTTAAAACTCGTTTTTCAGTCACGTACGGTTTAAAACATGTGATTTTTAACTCATTTTGTACCTATATAATTTAACCGTCAAGGGGTAAGATTGGATATGTCATAGACCAACCAAAATTGAGCCAAACTCAAACCACCCAAACACATACCGCCACCATAGCCCATAGGATCAGGACACAGCGGACGGGTCTAGTCCCATTTTCAAATCGCATTTTTTTTATAAAGAAAACAACAAATAAGAAAAGAGGAATAAATCAAAAAATAAATAAAAGTGTTTAGAGTTAAGACACGTCGTCGTTTCCACACGCGTGAGCTAGTGGTTGATTGGAAAATTGATTCTGTTTCCTAAAATAGAAATGGATTTGATTAGTCATTAGTGTGTGTGTGTGTGTGTGACCCTAAGCGGATTTTTTTTTTTTATCTCTCTCCCTCTCTCTCGAGGATCGAGTTCCTTTCCTCTCTGACTCGAAATCCCTCTCGGAAGCTGAATCTAGATCATCTTAGTAAGTAAGTCTCTCTATCGTTATCTCTTTGTGACGATGCTCTAATCCCATTTCTGTTTTAGCTGCCGACTTTTTTATTTTATTTCTCGTTTGTTTGTTCCTTTTTGCAATCTTTGAGAAATTAAAACACAATTGGTTTTCTCTGACTGTGGAGTCTCTGTTTCTTTTCTCGCATGTTCGTTTTGATGATTTTGAATGAAGCTCTACTGAAAACTCTGTTGAATTTAGATTTAAAAAAAAAAGCAATTTTGATGATTTCTCATGCGAACTCTCGATGTAAAGTTTGTTATTTTCTGTTAGATTCTCAATTTCTTATTCGTTTTTCTCTTTGCAGGTGTCATTTTGGAAGTTTTGTCACCTTTTCTTCTGTGGTGATACAAAAATGGCGGCTTCAGAGACAGTTCTACGAGCTCCATTGGGTTCTTTATCTCCATCTTTTCACTTAGCTTCCTCCTTCGTCAACTCTACTCCTATCCTCTCCTTTAAACCCGCTAGTAGAAACCGAAGGGCCTTAAGATGTACAAACTCGCTTGAGACCTCAAAATCCGTGGATAAAGGACGATCCTTTCACAGTCCAAACTGTGGTTTGAAAGGGAAGAAACTAATTTCCACGAGATGCAAATGCCAGAAACACGATGTTGAGGAGAACATGAGACCCACGTTGCTTCCTTCTGATGGCTTTAGAAGTGAACTGAAAAGCGACTTGGACGAAATGCCTCTCCCTGCGAATGGAACTCTTTCATCTAATGGCAACGCACAGTCAGCTGGAGGAGCGAAATCTATCGAGGACGAAGCGTGGGATCTCTTGAGGCAGTCCGTTGTTTACTACTGTGGGAGTCCTATTGGAACGATTGCTGCTAATGATCCCAACTCTACCAGTGTCTTGAATTATGATCAGGTCTTCATTCGTGACTTCATTCCCTCCGGGATTGCTTTTCTTCTTAAAGGAGAGTATGATATTGTTAGAAACTTCATCCTTTACACCCTCCAGTTACAGGTGATTGAATCTTTCTTTGTTTCTCCTAAAGGCAGAAAATTGATTAGTAGTTTCAGGAAAGGTTGAAGTTTTTTGGTTTTGTTATGAGCAGAGTTGGGAGAAAACCATGGATTGCCATAGTCCAGGTCAAGGTCTGATGCCTGCTAGTTTCAAGGTGAAAACTGTTCCTCTTGATGGTGATGATTCAATGACCGAGGAAGTGTTGGATCCTGATTTTGGGGAAGCAGCAATTGGACGTGTTGCTCCGGTTGATTCTGGTAAGAGAAGCTTGAAAAGTTGAAGTTTTTTTGTGTTACAAGTGTATGTGTAAAGGTTATACAAGTTTGCTCTGTTATCAGGCTTGTGGTGGATTATCTTGTTGAGAGCATATGGAAAATGCACTGGAGATCTTTCCGTGCAGGAAAGAGTTGATGTGCAGACTGGAATCAAGATGATCTTGAAGCTCTGTCTCGCTGATGGTTTCGATATGTTCCCTACTCTACTAGTCACTGATGGTTCCTGCATGATAGATCGTCGAATGGGAATCCATGGTCATCCCCTGGAGATTCAGGTGAGCATTTCTCTTTCTCATCACATTTCTGTAACTTCAGTTTGTATTTGCAGCCATTTGACTTTGTTCTTGCTTTCTCAGGCACTGTTTTATTCAGCTTTGGTCTGTGCACGTGAGATGCTTACGCCAGAGGATGGCTCAGCTGATCTAATCCGAGCTCTCAACAATCGTCTGGTTGCATTATCTTTCCACATCAGAGAATACTACTGGTTGGACCTGAAGAAAATAAACGAGATCTACCGTTACCAGACCGAAGAATACTCCTACGATGCGGTTAACAAGTTCAACATATATCCGGATCAGATCCCTTCATGGTTAGTGGACTTTATGCCCAACAGAGGAGGGTACTTGATTGGAAACCTCCAGCCAGCTCACATGGATTTCAGATTCTTTTCTTTGGGGAACCTCTGGTCTATAGTGAGCAGTTTGGCTACAAATGACGAGTCACATGCAATTCTTGATTTTGTGGAAGCCAAATGGGCAGAACTTGTAGCGGATATGCCGTTCAAGATCTGTTACCCTGCTCTGGAAGGTGAAGAATGGCGAATCATAACCGGAAGTGATCCAAAGAACACGTAAGTTCTCTCTTCCATATGATCTTCAATAGACATTTCTGTTCCAAATGATCATCTGAATCATCTTGATTTTGTTGCAGTCCTTGGTCTTATCACAATGGAGGTGCCTGGCCAACTTTGTTATGGCAGGTTAGTTCATTTTTGTTGGCACACCGAGATAATTGGTTTGGTTGATCAATGTGGATTTCAAAGACCATTTGTGTTAAATTCAAGTGCCTTCTTGTTTCTTGTTTTTTCAGCTGACAGTAGCGAGCATCAAAATGGGAAGGCCAGAGATAGCAGAGAAGGCGGTTGAGTTAGCCGAGAGACGGATTGCTATTGACAAATGGCCTGAGTACTACGACACCAAAAGAGCAAGATTCATCGGTAAACAGGCACGGCTTTACCAGACTTGGTCCATCGCGGGATACCTCGTGGCAAAGCTCCTCTTGGCAAATCCAGCTGCAGCAAAGTTCCTCACTTGTGAAGAGGATTCGGATTTGACAAACGCGTTCTCTTGCATGATCAGTGCTAACCCGAGAAGGACACGAGGACGCAAGAAGGCTCAACAACCATTTATTGTTTGAAAAGCTCAGAAATCTTTTTTTTGCAAATTGAGCTATGGACTTGTGACACAGGAATGATGCAATAGAATGATGCAAAACGTTATTTGTTGTGTAAATACTAAATAGTCTCTCTTGGAAACTTCTACAAAAAAACAGGAATGCTACTTCTTTTATCATATACATTTTTTTTGGCTTCAAGCCTGCCTCAAGTGGTGATTACTCTGTTTTTGTTACAGTCAACAAGTTGAACTCAGAAACATCCAAATGAAGTCTTTCTGTGTTGGACAAAGTTTGACCATACTTCGACCCTTATAAATTACAGACCTTATATGTGGTCATACAATACTCACTTTATATGTTAATATAAATATTTCACAATAAAAAAAAAACTTTATCTTAAAATAATATCAATATTACACATTTTCACAATATATTAAACAACACAAGCCAACATAATGATAATACACACGATATTCAAAGTCGTTTCAATACAAATTTAGTAAGATTCAAGAATACTATATTTTTACTGTTTAAGCACATAGGTGATAAGGCCAGGAATGTGTGTGTTTGCGATGTAATCGTCCCAAATGATGGACTTGGGATCAAACTCGAACGATCCATCTAACTCTTTGATCTTCTCATTTCTTCTCGCTCGCAGTTGTTCAGTATTTAAATCGTCAAATCTGCATAAATTAAGATTATAATGTCAGCACCTAAGCATGTGATAGGAGCTTTTGTGTAGTAACCCATTAATCTATTTTGTGCTATTTTTCTATAGAAACAAAGGTGTTAGTGTCACAAATCACAATCTCAAGTTTAGTAACATGCAAAAGTTTACTGTGTGCTGTATATACATACATGCCCTTGAAGAGTAAGTAAGGCTGATAAAGCTCAACCAGTCGCATAGCTAGCCTGATCTTGCGGCTGAGATCATCGTAGTTATCTCCATGACTCCATGGGTAAATTATATTGATCAATCGAAGTATCTGAAATGAAAAAAGTTAGTATAATTATCTTTTAATGTCTATCTATCAATAGAAAAATATATTAAAAGCAAAAAAAAAAATAAATATATAAGAAATATTTGCTCATCTTTTGCTAAATTAGTTCTAAACTAATGCTAATTTTTTGCAAAATATTATATAAGAAAATTTAGTTATGTTTTTATCACTAGAAAATCCGCCATTGATGGTAAGCAAACCTTAAATTCTTTCATCCACTCATCCCATATCTTGATTTATATCATTTTTTTATATGGATTCTTAAATAGAAGTTATATTTGAGACCTTTTTACCAAAATTAGTTAAATCATATAGAGAGTTGAAGTAAAGTAGTACCTGTAGAGGAAGCTTGTAACAAAGGGTCATGTAAAGGCTGAATTGACCCATAGTGGTTAAAATGGTTCCTTTGGATACTATGATTGGTGAACCATTACGACCAACCAAAGGACTTTTAGTGAAGTAACGAGCCACGATGTCGTGAAGTTTGCCAAACGTGACCGGATTCTGACAAGAAGAGCCGACATGGTATATCGCCTGAGTCCCGGTTTCTCCCGAGTGGGCTGTTCCGGCTGCAATCATCGCGTTTACAACCATGTCTGCCGGTATCTACAAAATGATATCAAAATTTTATTTTCTATCAAACAGATTACCAAATGGATTAATTTAAACAAGAAATGTGTTATTTAATATATGCAATAATTTGATTACGTGTTGATTAAATTATGACTTACAAGGTCAAAGACTGAGTTTGGATCCGCAAGAAAACATTTCAGCTTTCCTTTACCATATGCAACAATAACACTGTCAATAGTTCTGCACATACAAACAAAATAAAGGAAGATGAGTCCTTGAGTTAACACATTAAACTTGTACACGTGGTAATTTAAAGTAGAATATATAATGATATATATATATATATATATATATAAACCGATACTCACCTCAATCCTTCGATCCAACCGGGAAATGGTTCGGCCATAGTGCTAGTAATCATTGTTGGACGGATGATAACAAGTGGCAAATTTTCTCTAAAGTTTCCCATTAGCATCTCTCCCATTGCTTTGGTAAATACATATGTATTTGGCCATCCATGAAGCTTTGCCCTAGTTCAAAATAATTAACCAGTTGACGTTTTAGTGATCATATCAAAGTATAGTTAGATGAAATATACGGTGAGGGTAGCTAGGCCGCAAACCTTGTCATTCCGAGATCTTTCATTGCCTGCGAGATCTCTTCTGGTGAAAGATCTTGATGCTCGAGCTCTTTCAGTTTCTGTTTCATCAGTTCAAATTCTACATTGATGTCGAGTACTTTCTTATTTCCGCTGAGAGTCTCTCCCATCTTGAATGGTTTCTCTAGCAATAATCCAGATTTTTCTCCGCAAACATATGCTAAAAAAAATGCAAATATTGGTAAGAAGCCTTGGATCGGTACATACATGGTCGGTTTTATAAGAGGAACACTAGAACTCACCGGTTGAGACATGGAGAAGTAATTGTCCTTTAACACACTTTTTGGCAAAGTTGAGAACATTCAGAGCTCCAAATGTATTGATGCCAAGACCAATATCATATCTACAAGAGAGAGAAAAAAAAAACATATATGAAGTATCTTCATCAAATTCAGAAGTTATAAAACGCCAAGATATGATTAACATATCACAAATTTCTTTTGTCATACCTTTCATCGAAATTAGTCGTGGCTGCGATATTGATAATGACATCAATCTCACTCCACATAAGTTGTAAGAGATCAGAGTCCTTCACTCCCAAATTAACCACCGATATATCACCAGGAACCGCCACGATCTTTTCACGTACCAAAGCATTCAGATTTTCTTCACCTAGATCTTTCCTCAATACCCTAAAAAGGTCTATCTCCACAACCTGTTGTATCGTTGTAAATAAAACAGATATGCTGTTAATATATATCATTGATTTAATTAATGGATCACCATTAGATTTATGTAAAAGAGTGTTTTGGTTATAGAATTTAATTTCTAGTATACCTCACTACGTAAGCGTTGCATTGCTGCTTTATTGTCGGAAGCTCTCAACAGAAGGTACATCTTCTTCACATTTGGTTGCAACCTCAGAATTTTCTCTACCATAACTGAGAAAAAAAAGGACACACTATTTTAATTAACTCCTTTATCATTTTATTTTAATTAACTCTTGTAATTGTAGTAAACTATAAATAAATGGGTTGAAAATCATGGTTTTCCAAGAGTGTCTAAGATACTAAATTTTTTTCAGTTTTTAACTTTTTATGAAGACTTTTTTTTGCCTTTTAAGTATATAACTCACTGACTATGCTGAGGATACATGTTTGTTTGGACCACAAGAATCTATTTGTGTTGAGTTTAACTGATGAAATGAATACGAGAATATCCAAAATTCATCTGTATATTTTCCAAAAAAAAAACAATATAAAACTATAAAAAACCAATGTGATATATATTGGCTTTAATAAGATAAACAATTTTTTTTTATATTCACTAAAAGAAGTTATATTGATGCTAATCAGAAATAATCCCACGCGGATGAAGAAAAAAGTCGTAAGAATCGATAATAACTACAAAGATACTATGAAACCTATAGTAGATTAATAAGTAAATTTTCATGAAGTTATGCAATAGCAATAGCAATAGCAAGATCTTATACTAAAGACCAGACTAGAAGTAAACCATCAAGGTGTAGAAAGTACGTACCCTTGGCAAGAAAACCAGGAGCACCGGTGATGAAAATCGTCTTGTTCCCAAGAAATTGAACACAATTGGATTCCATATCGTATTGGGTGAAATTACAAAACTTGGTTTCTTGGAAAATAAGTTATAGCTTAAGAGAAAATACAAAACTTGATTGTATTTGGTGACTTGAAGCCTTGAGAGTCGAGGTTACTATTTATATATAGACTTGATCGTAAACGTAGAGATCCATAAAGTTGGCATTCGTATTTACAACTTCTTCAGCTACCTACCTACCCATTGATTATATTGAGATGAAAATTTATTTAGTAACATTTTCAGAATAATAAATATCATCCTCTCACCATTTAAGAAACGTAACTACAAGTCGGCCCATCATCTCAGTCCTCCCGTTGAAATCATTTATTACTTTGGCAATGGGTATAGTTGTGGACAATGACATAATTAATAGGTTTCATTAAACAAATCCTAAGTGTTTAATATAGATCTCATCCGTGAGACATGTTTGTACAACGTAATATCGGCCGCGTTTAAGGATCAGGTCAACGGCCTTCAACGCACGTACGCATTACACACACGAAAAGTTTTTGGAAAATTCATATGACGAACTCAACTAATAGAAATACTCGAGTGAAAATTTATATTGATCGTTCAAACTGCTGAAACAGTGGATGGAAAAGTTGGATATTAGGAGGAAGATAACACACCCACATTACATTTTCTGAAAAAATCAAACACACTCACATTGCCATTCAAATATATTTGTGGAGAGAAATGTTTTCTTCAAAATAATGAGAAATCATTATTACAGCTACTGTTCACGATATTATATATATGATGAAAAATTCCGGTCCATATATGCTACAGTTGAAACGCAGCATCTTTACTGTTTTTGTGGAGTATGTTTTCCCTTTTTCAGTTTATGGTCATTTTATATAATAAAAAAAATCTGAAAACATTGGTATAGATAATTTTATCGAATATAGATTAATTAAAATATATTTTTAGTCATTCAATATGTTAAAACTAGTAAAAAAATCATAATTATGATAGCATTATAAAAAAGGTAAAACTTTTCACTTAGTATGCCAAAAATTATATTGTGACCATATAATCTATTAAATTTTAACATATGTTATCGTTTTAACATCATTTCAATTTAGTTCAGCATATTGACTACACCACTGAAAAATTACTAAATTTATTTCCTGGTTTCAATTACCACAACTTTTCGAAACATAATCTATATATATGAGGTTAGCCATATTAAACTAATATTTTGTTAGATAATTGGTATGTAATCCTTTTTTCGA